AATCAAATACCTTAATACAATCAACCTTATTTGCCATAAATTAAAAGGGTGAAGTCGAATTCTTTGTTATGAAATAATGTAATCTTGAAGTTTCCTTTGCATTTTAGGGTTAGGATCTTCAATTCAATTAGCTACAAATCATTAATAACCTGTTATAGAATTCCTCATACATAAGTCAATCATCGGAATTATAATTACAAAATTCACTTTTTGAAGGAAATTACATCGCCTAAAATAGTTACCTTATATATGTCAATTAAAAAACTTAGGTATCTGATATCATATTGGACAAAGTTTAATTTTCTTTGAACTATATTTATCTATCTTCAAGTTTCCTATATGTTGAATCATCAACCCTACTCTAAATTACAAATTTGAGTATGTTTATGCTCTCAATAGGATTAGATGTTAATTTTGCTTTTGAAATTCTGACTAATTCCTTCTCCTTATTCGATAGTGTAATAGAGTTCTAGGATCAAATTGGTGCTCTAATTGAAGCGACTGACTTAGATCTCTTTAGTTTTAAGAACATCACTATTCATTAATAAAACTAGCTAACTGGATTGTCAGGGTCTTTGGATTGCATAACTCAACAAGATTCAAATAAACCCATCATAAATTTATTAAACATAAAATAAGTAGAATTCTAAATAGTAAACTTTACCAATATATTCACTTTTAACCAACCTGTAATTAAGATAGGAAGCACTTAAGTCAATTTCCAATGTTTGATTAATATTAATAATTCCACATTCCAAGATTCACTCATTATCAAATCTACCAATAATATTACAGTGGCGTTCATACTCATAGAATCCAAAAACTCAATTTAAATCAACTTTACAAATTCTAAATTCTTAAACACCATATATAAGGAATATATTGGACTAAACACTTATGGAACTTCAGCCAATAATTTGTATTTCTTAATTCCTCAGGGATCTGTCTATTTTTATAATAATACATTTCGATCTAATTTAATCATAGGTTCCTTGAATTCCAATATGTATATTTAATGTCGAAAAGTCATAATATCAAACTGTAGTTTCATGGAAATTAATAATCTAAATAAATTGTTTTATCAAGTACTCTCATCTCAATATTAAGACTTATTGTACATGGAGTAGTTGGAATATGATTATAAAGTTAAGAGTTATGGTGGGATAGCTCAAATCTATGTAGAAGAAATCTAAATTTCCAAGAGCTATTTTGAAACTTATATTGGCTATAAAGGAGGGTGCATGTATGTGATAACACTTAATAATGGAATAATTTCAATAGTAAATACAAAGTTCAAGAATGGATAGGCTATCATTGGACAACTTGAAAGTCAAGGTGGGTCCTTCGTTATTGACAGCAAAGGCTCTAAGTTAAACCTTCAAATTATTAACTGTACAATCTAAAATAGTTGGAGCTTCGATAAGGGAGGATTTGTCATGATCACTTTATCCGATTTATCATCCATCATCTTCTAAAATGTTTCTATAAATGATGCTCACTCATTATAATCATCAGTGATTTCAATTGAAATAAGTGATTTTCTGCAGTAGTAATATACATTGCAAGTAGAGGATTGTACTATTCAAAACACTAAGGCAGGATATAATGATTATTTAAAATTAATTGAAATAAAGGATCTTATTTACAAATTTACATTCGACACTTATGATTCTGTGCTCTTTGAAACCCAAAAGGGGATAATAAGAATGAAAAATTTGGTGATCCACAACATCATTGGTTACGGATTAATGACGAATAAGCAAAGCTATTCAGTCATCATAGACACTGTGAATGTAATTAATTTCATCATTCAAAAACGACCCTTAGTATTCTTCGACCGTTCACTTGGTCAAATAATAATAATGAACAGTCACTTTCATGGAGTATACCAAAATTACACCAAGATCATATGTGTTTACTCTGAATATTAATTAGAAGAATTGAAGTCAGAATGTACTCATGAGCCATATACATTACGTTCCTAGTTTAATAGTTACACAAAATAATGTGAAGAAAATATCACCATTTCATAGGACTACTAAACTTATGACATTTTTCAATTATCCAACATTGAATCTGAAGTTTAGATTAATTCTGTTATTTTTTCTGATATTTAATGTACTTAATGTAATATCTTTTATATTGAAACAAATAATCGTGTTGTAATTTAACAAACAAAATTCATAAAGAATATTGGAAATAGTTCAATTTTAAATATAAAAAAGATTTATTAGAATAGATTGCTTTTCACGTATGCTGATGACTTAGCCAATAAAATTGGGGAAATCTTAGTTAAAGATACATAATTTATTTAAAATAAAGGAGTAAATGGTGGTTGTATTTAAGCAACTGGAGTATCTATTTCCTGTTACTCTGTATTATTTTAAAATAATACTGCTGTCATTGGAGGAGCAATTTATTTGAATTATGGATCTTTAGAGATGACAGATTCGAAGATAATTGGAAATAGAGCAGCATCAGCAGCAGGTATTTATTCTACTAATCCATTGTCCATTCAAAAAAATAGAAGAAATGTAATTTCGGACAATCAAGAGACTTCTATGATTGGGAATTTGTAATCATAGCCTTCAAAATTAGCTTTATCATTGGACACTTTCAGAATGTTTGAGAATAAAGTTAGTTTTAAAAATGACACTTATTTAATTGAGGAAGTTATTAGTTAAATTATGTTACCTAATAATGTGGAAATATAAAATTACTAAATTTTGGAAGGGAACTTGACCTAACATGGATTAGGAAACTAACTAAGTTATGTTTCTAATTTTGAAACCTACAATAATTTAAATTACAAATTTAGATTAGTTCCTTAAAATGCCTACAATGAACGATAATACAATCTATCAGATACTCAATGTAGTGTCAGGAGTAGGCTGGCCTAGGAAAAAGATTTAGATTTTTCTTTAGATTGTTTATCTATCTCTACTGTCTAGTTCAATATGACTACTCAGGATTATAATTTAGACAATCTTAGAATTCTAATAAATGAGGATTTACAAATTGAAATAAAGTGTGATTCCATTAAGATTCCTATTTATGATAGTCAGAATTAGCATATTCTACAATTTCATAATAATTATTCTATCATTATCAATGTAAAATCTTTCCCCTGCTAAAGAGGTGAAATATTGTCTAAATCTATATGCGTGTAATGTGTGTCTTAAACATATTCTTTAAAAGAGAATAGTCTTAAGTGTTCAGTGGGAGACCAAGAAATGATAGAGAGTGTTATCCCATCAAATATTGAAATCAAACCGACATACTGGAGACCATATTACGACAATGATGAAATCTACCCGTGTATCATAAGTTCTGAGAAGTGTCTAGGAGGCTGGGCTGCAGGACCTGACTCATGCATATAAGGTAGTTTTGGAGCTCTTTGTGAAACTTGTGATATTTATGATGTAAGAGGACAAGGAACATTTTTTAAATCAAATATGAATTGCTTTTAGTGCTAAGATTCAAATCTTGCCTATTTTTCTTTATTAATCGTAGCTCTATGGACTATGATTTCAATGGTGATATCTGTGAATAGTTCTCTAGAGAATTTGAAGTTGGAATTGCTAAGAACTAAATTGAAAAAAGCAGGATTGAAGACTTACTCTGAACAACAAGAATCAAGTTCATTGTATAAGATGCTATTCCATTATTTGTAAATTATATCTACCTTAACTACTTTCTAATTATAATTTCCAAATTTGGTAAGTATAGCAATAAGCAGTGTAGGATCGCCAACAAAATCTCTAGAAAATTCTATTGATTGTTATTTAATGACATTATCTTTTGATATTTTACATTCACGAATAATTTGGATTATTTTGGCACCCCTCATTTATTTGGGTTTCGTATTTTTCATTTACGTGTTCATCATTTTTGCAAGAAAGTAATAATACAAACAAAGTGTATCAGCAATCATCTTACTATAGACATTTGTCACTATGCAGCCAAGTATGATTGGAGTTTTGATCTCAATACTAGGATTTCGTGAGATATCAGGATTTTATTGGGTAATTGGTGATGTTTCTTATAGATATGATAAAAACTTCTACGTTTCAGCTATTTTAGCCTTTCCAATTTTATTTTTATTGTCCATTGTAATTCCATTGCTCATGTTTATAAATTTGTACAAAAGTAGAGATGACTTGAATAAAATTAAATCCACTTGGGGTTACTTGTTTTCTGAATTTAATGAAAATGCCTACTTTTGGGAACTTGTAAGATTGGGAATGAAGAATCTGGTTATTATTATTATTACCCTCTTTGATCAATACATAGTACTCAAAGCCACAATGGTATTTTTATTGATTCAAGGGTATTAATCATTAACCAAATCGTATTAGCCATTCAAAACTAGGAATTTGAATTAAATGGAAGATTTTGGATCAAAAGTACTGTCCATTAGTATTGTCTTGGGAGCATCCTCATATCAAATGTTGTTGACTGTAATGAGAAATTACATCTACATATTCTATGTCATCATTTTGGAAGTCAATTGCACATTTTTATACTATATCTTCAGCAAGATCATCTAAGAATATACTTACAAAAATCAAATTCTGATTAACAAAATTAAAGAATATCTAAAAATCAAATTCCCTATGCTTATGCGATTGTCTTTTTGTAAAAAAGTGTTCTCCCAAAAACAATGTAGCTCATCTTCAATGAAATTCAAAAAAGTTACTAGGGCACTTAGGGAATCACTTCAATCCCAAAGGAAAAAGAACTTTTTGGATCTACAATAGGACGAATCAGTAATTTAAATGTAAAGCCCTGATCATCTCTTAAAGTCGAATGATCTCCTTTTTAGGTCAAGGGAACAAAAGCTAGGGATTAATTGTTCTGGATCTATGTTAATATTAACTGATCAAAGAGACTCAAAATTGCATAGTAGAATCATAACAGAAAGATAAGGATTATAAAAAAGCATTGGGGGCCAATTTTTGTGATGAATTTATTATATTATAATACACTTTTGTTTTTCATCAAAATAACAGTGATCCTATGCGATTGTAAGTCTTTTAAGGATGATCCGAAATCAAATTGAAAGTTTCCTTCAAAGTCTTTATAAATACAGGCTTCACAACCACTTGAAGCATACCGGCCTATATGCATTATTCAATTGAATCGGCATCTCCGTGGGCAGTACACCCAATTATAGGAAAATATGGCATATGGAGTTTCATCATCTCTTAGACTAAATATTTGGTTTCCTCTATGCCACCCATAATCGGCATGTCAAGATCCATAAACACAACATAAATTTCATTCTATTTTGCAATGGCTATGTTAATAGCTTGTTGTCCATCAAAGGCTTTAAAAAAACTCTGAAAGCCCAGAGATTTTAACATCAAAATTAATGTATCATGATTAAAGGGTTCATCATCTACAATGAGAATCGATTTTGTTTAATCAATTTATGTTAAAGATAACTATTATGGTTGATCCGCTATTTATCTCTATTGCTGCTAACGTACCTTAGATGGCAAACTCATTTTCACTATGATTGGAGTATTTGCAGAAGGCTCATCAATTGAGTCCTCAAGAATTGGGATGCTTAAATCTTATCCAGAAAATATCGACTTTTACGAGATATTATGATGAGTATGCAGTAATCTACAACTTCTTTGTTTTAAAATGTATCCAATTTTGTATTATTCGAGAGAACTATCAGCAGATCTTTCTCTATTGATGTTAATTTTAAATTTATATAAAATACCACTGTTTTCTGTTTAGCATAATTCTAACGATTAATTATTGAATTAATTCAAAGATTTTATCAATTTGCTTGTTAATGACAGAGTTGTTAACATCTCTTATTAATAATGGGATTTCTTCTTAGAAACCTTGAATAAATTATGACAAACAATCCATTAGTTTAAGTCATCTATTTCTTCTTATGACAGTTCCATTCCCATATCAGATATTTAGAATGAGGCATCTTCTGCCTCTTTATCTATTGTTACATTTAAAGAAATGATTCCATTTTAGGTCGTGTTTCTATAAGATAAATTTAATAAATTGAATAGGGCTCTTTCAAGTTTTAGAACATCAGAGTAAATGCAGATTCTAAATTAATTTGAATATAATTTACTTATCCATTTTATTATACTTAATCTCATTAATAGTGAATAATAAATGTATATTTTTCATTGAGCATTACGACTGGATCAACTCCTATAATGATATAAAGAGGGTCTTCAAATTGATTTTGCATATTTATAAAGAGGATGCTTCTTAATCTGAATTCAGATATTCAAGCAAATCTTGAATTTAAAATAATTGTAATTTCGAATTTACATAAGCAGGTTTAATATAGTTATTCTGTATTTTTGTATCCACATCTTGATCATAATAGGCTTATGTCAAATGTCCAAGTACAGCATTCAAAGGGGTTTTCAATTTATGAGTAAAAATATTGGAAATATCCTTTTTGAGATGCATAAATTTGCCATTCGATTTCTTTTGGATAGTGGGATCAATTCTCATAAAATATAGGACAATCAATTCATCATTTGTTTTTTATTGAGTAACACGGTATTTAGTCTTTGTCTTAGTTTGTGAATCAATGATTGTTGCCAAATACCAATTAAAGTGTAAACTATCAAGATTATCCTCAGTTTCTATATAAGTTATAAAATCTTCTGTGGTATGAAAGGTTTTTGTTCTATAGAAGGACTTTTAATTGGAAGGAGAGCTGCTCAACTCTTAATCCATGTAGACTTTATAATTGTTTTCAAAAGGTAGCTTTTGTGTTTCAACTGTTGTTGGATAAGTAAATATTAATTATCTATTTTTATCGAAAATTTTCAAGAAGCAATTTTTCTAAATTTCGTTCAACAACATGTCTCGAGACATCTTTAAATTTTGTTTATTATCTTTCTTCATATACATTATGTAAATCATATAACTTAAACATTAGAATATTTCACTGGCCATACTCATTTTTAAAAAACCATCATATTGCAAACAGTATACGAGTACAAATGTGAGCAGTGATAAAATATAGCAAACTAATTATGAACGATTATTTCTCTTGAAATTTGAATTAAGCAGCTGAAATGAGGACCAAAGTTAAGTAGAACCGTAAAAATATACTCTATATACAATAAAGCAACACCTAATAGCATAGGAGAGGTAAATGTATTTATTGCTTTTAATAATTTTGAGGTAAATGACTATTTATAATGTTTAAATAGAATAAGTAAAGTAAAAAAGAAGAGGATTCCACTAATCATAATCAATATCAAATTTTGGTTTAAGCACCCAATTATAATGTCGTGTCCTATTTATGACACCTATAACATAAATATTGAAATAAATTAAAATTACATGAACTAAATAATTAAATTTGGAGAATTAAAAACAGTTTTTATTATTATTGAAGATTGATTTATTAAAATATTGTAACTATGTTTTAATTAACTAATATATATATTAATTTTTCATAAGAAAGACTATAAAAAGAGTGTAAATTTCAAAATTTATCTAATGAATTTGAAATTTAAACACTACGATGTTCTTAGATTAAATGTTCCTCTCTAATCTATCGATAAGCCTCCTGCAAGCTCTTTATAAATACAGGCTTAGTCACCACATGAGCCATTCCAATCTTCAGACATTTTATTTGTGTCTCAAAATCATCATGAGCAGTACAACCTATAATTGGGATGTAGTCTATTTTCCCTTCAGTCATCATCCTAATCAGTATTTGGGTAGCCTGTCTAATACATCAATTGTTTACTTGCAATCCACCCATAATTGGCATATCTAAATCCATGAAAATAGTCTTGATGCCCAAGGGATTTTGCTTAACCTTGTCAATACACTCCTATCCATTAAAACTATATAGGAATTATTTGTGACCCAACTTTTGAAGCATTAAAGTTAATGTGTTATGGTTAAAGGGTTCATCATCCACTATCAATATGAAACGACTGTCCTGATGATTTGGGGTTCCATTTTAATTGATTGGATCAATCACATGAGATAATTACAGATCCCGTATGCCAGATAGAGTCGGCCTCTTTATTTGATTATTCTAATATCGTTACTCATGAATTAAATAGGTTCTCGACAATCTCGGCTTTAGTGGCTAAGGTTCATCTTCAATTTGATCGAAGAATTGATTCCTAGTCAAAATTGACCTTTAAGATGAAGATTTAGAAGAACGATTTATTTTGTTTTGTTGTTTGATTGACGATTGTTTAGACTCCTTAATATAATTGGAGTATTTAATCTGTTCTAATGATCCTTCTCTGGATGTAGAATTAATGATAATAAAGAACTCAAAACTACACCCTCCTTATTGTTAATCATTTCTTACTGACAGGGAACAGTTTGAATCACTCAACATATATATTAATTTATTGGTGATCTGCAAAGTTAATCCAAATTTGGACTTGTTTTTAGCAGAAACATATTTATTAGTAACATGATACTTATTTTATAATTATGCATGAGTATTTATTAGATTGAGTTGATCTTCTGGTATTCCTTCTCCACTGTCATTTATTTTTACATGTAACTTGTTATTTGGAGAATCATAGACTAAATCAATTGTTAATTCTCCATTTAAAGGAGCAAATCTGTATGAATTGTTGATTAAATTGAATAAAACCCTTTCAAATTTTTGACAATCTGAATAAAGATAAAATTAACTAGAATGATAATTTGAAATTTACTTCTCTTGCAATTTCCAATCATTTCCATTTATCAAAAATTTAACAGTAATATTTTTCACTTTGCATTAATACTCAATAAATTCATATATTTAACTTAGAGATTACTGAAGATTAAATTTGGTTACTTGCAATCCAATTTAATCTTAATCTTTATTGAGATAATCGAGTAAATCTTAAACTTAATATAACTATATTTTTGAATGAATGTATGATGGATGGATATAAGATTAAAAGACATGCTTATCAACATTTCTATCATTAGTAGCATTTGATAAAAATGCGAGTGTTGCATTAAGAGAAGTTTTTAACTTATGAGTAAAATTATTGGCCAATCTTGTTTTGAATTTTGCTATAGAATTACGTTATTTTCTTACAATGGCAGAATCGATTTTAATAAAGGCAATGATGTAGTACTTTTGAATTTCTTTATTGATAATAACCTTGAATTTTTGTTTCTTACCAGAATCTATGTCAATTTCAGAAGCAACGAATAAATTATCTGTATTTTGAGTTTACTAATTAGAAACAACACTAATGATAAAATCCCTCAGGTTTTTGAAGGTTTAATATTTAGTTGGACTCTCTATTTCTGAGTCAGCAGATTCCTCTAATTGGATATCGCTATTTAGAAAACTTTTAATTTTAAGTTCTTTGTTCACTGAATTGGGAATTAGTTCCAAGTTTTCGCATTTATTTCGAGTAGTGAAAATGGTTTAAGCTGAAGTATTCTAACTCAATAATATATTGGGTGTTAAATCTTCTAAATTTTTTGTGAAAATCTTAATATAACTATTTTCCAACAATTACTTGGTGATAAGTTATTCTGCAACTGAAGTTACATCATGTTATTAGAAAAAACTATAAAACTAATATATAAAGATGATTGAAGCCGAAGAGAGTTAAAATCCAAGCGTCTTCGGTTCAATCACTTGATATTCAATCACTTCTAGGACTAATTAGTAAATTATGATGGGGAATGAAGCCACAAAATAGCAATCGACCCTTTGGAATATGTTCATCACGTAGTAGGCTTACCAAATGGATTAAGTTCCAAATATTGTAATGGATATGATGTTATAAATAAATGAGATGATGATTTCAGAGTGAGATAGTCGAAATTTGATCTTCAATAATTGTTAAACTTGAATAAAGATGTGATTCTTTACATATTAGAATGGTTAAAGTAATCAAATTTACGATGGTTGGAATTTTAGATTGATTGAGTATGCAATATATTAGATCTTTTGAACATAATCCCATTAGCAAATAGTTTGTATTGTTTATAATCATCTTAAATAGATAAATTAATAATTATGAATATTCAATAAATTAATACACTCATTTAACAATCATTGTCCCTATTAATCAAACCAATTAATAAGTTTAATCTTTATAACTAATAATATTCCTCCATTAATATTGATAATTTTAATACTTCAATACAGTTCTAATTTAATAAAGGGTCTCATCTTCTTCGAGAAACCTTAGTTAGGTTTTTATAGCAATTTTATTTTTTATATGAATTTTTTCACATAATTTTGAAATATTAAAGGACAAATCTATGTAGAGTTTTAATTATATAGATGTTTTAAAAATACTATATTTCATTACATATAAGGTAATATGAATGGTTTATGAGGTCGGGTACTTGTAACAAGAGTTCTTAGATTTTCGTTACTATTTTAATAACTAATTCTATAGAGTTAAAAAAGAATCTGATAAAATTCGTTAATTAATTTAGGAATTTAATAATAGCCTATAAACAAATTTATGATAGGATGAAACCAAGAATAATATTGGGATTCTAACTATAGATATCATTATTAGATAAATATAAATTAGTACTTATTAAAATTGTAGAAATATTTTAGACATATAAATCTCAATCGTTTCTAATTCTCAAATATTCTTTAAATTCCCTCTAATTAGCACTGAATAATCCAATAACTTGAGAAACTAATTACCTCTTTCTATCATTTTACTCTCTACTTGACTTGTATTCATAAGCAGCCTAAGAGCATTCCTTTCTTCTATCTTCTTTAGTTTATTTTTTGCTCTCAATTCTAGCATTATAATCAGTCAAATCATTTTATCCCATAGAGATCTGATTATCTAATTATTCTAATCCTGCGTCAATCATGGACTTATCACTTTGTACTGATTATAAATCCTTTTGTAAAGATGAGATTTCTTTTTCAAATATTTCCCTTCTTTTATCCTCCTACTTTCTAATTAATGACATATTGTCTGAAACATTGATTAATAATTCGTCACACAAGGATTTCAATTTATCAGCACCCTCATTCTTAACCTTAGCAGCAACTTAAACAAACAATCCAAACAGTTCTTAATATCTTGTATTCTATCTGAAATTTCTACTTTCATCTACAGCATTCTCTAAATCATCCATCAATGCATCATGGTTGTTAATTTAAATTAAATTGATTCCACTCAAAGTGAATTTCTTTTTGACTTCAGAAATCACAGAAATAACATATGAATTTTCATTCATCTCTTACTCATACCTATCTTATTCTTGATTTCTTATTGTTTATTTCTAAGCTATTAATTCTTAGATTTATTTCAACCATTATTCCTTAGCATTGGCAATTTATTTCTTTCTTTATTAGGCATTCTTCAACTCATCCAATTTGCCTTATTTCTCAACAATTGATAGTTATGTTTAATTGATCTCACTGTCCTAATTAGTCAAATCCTATAGTTAAGTATAAGTATATACTTCATCACATTTCTTTTAAAATTATTGATTAGTAATGTCATCATCCTTTTATTCATTGTCTATTTAACCTTCCAAATCGCGCATTAAATCAACTACTTTCTCCAATGATTGGCCACCTGAGATATTAATTTCCAATGTATCAATCAAAGTCTTGCCGAAATCATCTTTGTCGATCTATTGATGATACTCATGTGGATATTTACCTCCATATATTCGAAATAACGGCCATCTTCTACTGCTATACATGCTAATAATAGACATGCCAATATAACTTATTTAATCATCCAATTAAAAAACGATAAATATATAAAATATTACATTTATGAACTCAGAAACACTTTAATCATTAGAATAATAATTCAATATAGCAAGTTTAGTATAATGATGATATCATTAATCTAGATAAGAATCCTGAAGAAATAGTAAATGAGCTTGAGAAGGCTTTGAATGATTAATAAAAGGAAACTATCAATTAATTGGTGGCATTGGATAAAGAAGTTGATGACATTATCAACTAAATCAATAAGTTAGACATGAAATATGTGGAATTCGAAGGATTAATAGAGGCTCATACCGAACATATAAAAGCCATAAGCAGAGGCACATAAAATATGGAAAGCTATCTTAAGGTATTGGAAATTCGTATTAAAAATGAAAAATAATTAAGTGAATATATTAAATGAATTATTATATAATTTATGTCTCTAATGAGTGTTATGTTTTTGCAAACCATTCATTCTTTTAATTTTAGTAACCGCGCTCTGTAGTTGTAAAATTCCTCTGTTTTAACATACAGTTGGTAATTAATCAGCTTCAAGAATTTCTTCTCCATTTTCTTGAGGCTCTCTCGATTGGTTTCAAAAATGATTGGGTAGGTGTTAGAAACTGTTTGGTTATCGTCGTACATCTTCAGACACAGAATCAAGGCTGCCATAAGAAGGCTTTCCAAACATAAATGTTACAAAGTACTTGTAAATATTTCTTCGGTTGAGGTAAAACTCGTTCATTGTTGTCAATCGATCGACCAAAATAAACCCCGTCACAAAAATCTCGTCACTTACTCCCATTCTTTGCAGTATATATAATTTCTCCATTATATCTTGCTACCTAGGAATGGTATAAATATTTTTACCTGATAAAAATATTTGGACACATTCCTTTAGCCTTACTCTCTGCTAAATTGTTATATGCAAAAATCTTATTCAATAATATTTATATCTTATCAATCGCAACGACTTATTAAACAGCTGCTCCACCTTTCATTAATTAAAAATTAAAAAAATTTAAATAGGATGCTTCTCAAATATTGGTATAAGCCAAATTTAATATGCATTTTAATAGCGAGGTTTCTAATCTTCATCAAATTCTAATAAATCATCTTAAAATCATATATATATATCCTAAACTATTTCTATTAATCATAAGGATTGTAAAATTCTAATGTACACACTCATATAACTTCAAATAGCTTCCAAATCGATTTCTTAAATGATAATTGAACTTTGAACATTATATATACACATCATATACTGTAATATCCATAGCAATCATATTTGCTGGAATTGAGTAAAATCTACAGATACCATAATGAATCTGATTGTGCATGATAAAAGCTGATAAAATAATATATATATCATTCAAGAATTTGATACAGACAAGTTTTCTTTCCTTTCCTCATCATCCTCGCTCTCAGATGAAGAACTCGAACTTGAACTTGAGCTTGAGCTGGAAGAATCTGAACTTTAACTACTGCTTATCAAACTATCCTGCTCAATCAATGAAGAGTATTCGGAGATAAAATTTAAACTTGGAATCGATTCAATTGTGTAATCCAATAAACTCATTTAGTGCTCATCAACCTCCTCCTCAGACACAGAAGTATTCGAGTCACCACCCTCCTTAGTTTCCTCCACATCAGGTTCATTGCTTTAATGAGAATTCGTCTTCACAACCTTGCGAATCAGATCTGAGATTATCAAATCATCTCTATCCATTTTAAAATATTATTAATTTTTTATTTATAAATTTCATTTATAGAATTATTATTAGGCATATTTCAGAAAAATACATATACCTTATTTTAACACTACAGATCTAGTAAAATATGATATATTATTCAATTACGCATGATGTTGAATATTCTAATATTATTATTTTAGAAATAGAGAATAAAATATTCATGATTAAAATGATATATTACTATTAAGAATTCTATAGGTTATTATTTACTCCACTATTATAAGTTCATAGCTAGGGTTATTTGGTAAATTTGTTGTCATAAAATTACATTAAATGAGTTTATAATATTATTAACCAATGGATTAGTAAATATGATTGTTTTTAAAATAAGATTGAAATTTACAAATATCAAATTATGTTGTCATTGAATTCTCAACTCAAAAATTACAACAAAATGATTAATTAATTCAAAAAATAAATAACATATTACAATGATAATTAATATTTATTATTTAATTATTATGATTTAATTTATGACATGACATTTTATCAGAATGACAGTTATCAAAATTTAGATATTTGGCAGGATTTAGAAATTGTCTAAGTAATGCTCCAATAACTGTAAATCACTAAAATGATGAATATTTAAAAATCTATTATTTGTATTTAATCTATTGTTGGCTAATTTCAAGTTCGGGGTGTTATTCTGAAATCAACAAGAAATTCAAACTATATATCGTTGTTTCATAGATTCAGTAGCATTAGTAATGCAATAACAATAAAGGGGGTTTGATTGTTTATTGAATGCGTTTTTCTTGTTACTCAAATCTAATTTACTTTTGTTTTTTTATATTATATATAGTAAAATATCTGCCAATGTAATAGGACAAGAGCATTGAACAATATTTCTATAATACAAGTCATATAATTGGAAAGGGCAGTTTTGGGTGTGTTTACAGAGGCATTAACTAAAGTACTTAAGGCGAAGTCGCCATAAAAATCATCAAAAAGGCAAATTTGGCAGGGTATCCTTCTATTTGTATTTTAAGATAATCGTATTCACAGTAGGCTTTGGTCAATGAAATGACAATCCTGAAAAAACTTCATTCGAAAAACATAGTCAGGTTACTTGATGTTTGTGAAAACCAGCAAAACTATTATCTTATCTAAGAATTTTGTTAATAGGGGGATCTGAGGAAGATATTGAAGCAAAAACAATTGGAGGAGTAGGAGGCTATAAGAATTTTACATGATATCCTTTCTGGATACTAAATATTATTGAAGAATGGAATTGTACATAGAGATATCAAACCAGAAAATATCTTGAATAGCAATGGAGTATTTAAACTTGGAGATTTTGGTATGGCAACTCAATTGTCCAAACAGAGGATGTTGAATTCACGTGTTGGGACACCTTTGTATATGAGTCCACAGGTTCAATAAAATAGTAATTATACAAATAAATGTGACATTTGGTCTATAGGAATCTTATTTTATGAATGCTTATATGGTGCAAGTAAAGAACTTTATTATTGAGTAGCTCCTTGGTATCATGAGACATCTTCTTAACTACTTAAGGACATCCAGGAGCAGACTCTGAGGTTTCCAAAGTACCCAAAAGTTAGTGATATAAGCAAATCATTTATTAAGAAATGTTTAGAAATCAACGAAAAAGAAAGAATAGATTGGATGGACATTTTCAGTCATAATATATTTCGATAAAATCCAATTAAAAAGTTGGATCATAATTTTCAATAAATAATCATGCAAATCAAAAATATCATTAAAATGAGAAAATTTAACATAAATTAAATAATTTAAAATATTTCAATAGGAAATCAACTTAAATTTAAAGATCTTGAACTATTACTAATTTCAATCGATAAATAATTTACAGCAGATGATGCCCATTTGATTTTTGACCAGTTGAGTCATTTCAATTCAGACTCGATACCTTTACAATGTGTGCTCTTTTGGTTAGGATAAAATTAAGTAAATATTCTAAATTTATAATTTTGACAGGCAATTTAATCTTAAGCAAAGGAATTAAGTCCTCCAAGATCGAAGTAACAAGAATAGGCCAAAGTGGATGCTATATTGAATGCTCTGATCGTTCGGATAAGGTTGAATTCAATATCAATAATACAGTTATTCAATAAGGTATTTTAATTCCATGTTATGGTAGTATGATATTACATAAGGCTAAGATATCAGCCTAGATAAATTTGAGCAAATAATGTTCCATATCAATAGTTAATTATCCAAGCCTGATATCTCTCTATGTTATAGAAAAATAAAGGAGGAAAATTCGGGATGCTTAAAGAAGGAAGCCCTCCTTAACATTTTTTATGAAGAGTCAGAACTAGATGATACTGATGATGATTTTTCTGTTTCCCCAGTCCAGCTTCCAATTCAGGGACCTGGTTAAAAATTAATATCATGTAACAATATTGAAATGTTAACTTGATTTTTTAACTGCTTTATTTTATAACTTTTATGAAACAACAACATTATAATTAATAATGATATTTTGATATATTTGTATCGAATCACTCTGCCAATTTTTAATTGATGTATTCAATTAATCTATCAACTATATCGATTTCAGTTTATCTATAGGGAAATAGGATAAGAGAGTATACCTGCTGACTTTTTAATTACTGTATTCTGCATCTTCCAATTCGTTGATTTTGGTGGCATCTTGAATGTTTAATTGTGTGACCTCAACTAAAGCATTTGAAATGTTGATCAATCCGTCTAATTCGTTCAATCTTGATTAGATTTCCTTGAGTCTATTGTTGGCAGTGGCCAATGAAACTTATAGGGTTTACTTTTCGTTTCTCAAGTCATCACCCAATCTGGTTAAATTCTCAACCTTTTCAATATGAATTGCATCGATTTACTTGAGTTTTGTGATTTGACTCCAATTGATCTTGACCCTCTTGAAGAGCTGTGATCAGACGAGCGACCAAACTAAGGACATTGTTCAAGGTTTCTGGATTGACTTTGGTGGTCATTTCAGCGAGTCCTTCAATGATTGGTTGGAATAAAGTTAAGGAGCTCTTTTTGGTGTGAGCTTCCAATATTTCTTTGATCTTTTAGAAGTTCTCTTTGGTTTAGATGAGGTTGCTCTTTGTATCTTAACTAAATTGGTATTTAAAGAAGGGAGATACGTAAGTTAAATTAAAGATGCTCCTTCACCTCTTAAGTTCAATAGTAATCTTTGTGCTTCCTTACATGCTAAGATGGCATCATTGTAATCTGAGTACTTGGTAGCAAAGTCAGCATTTTCAGCATCAAGTCTGGATTGAGCATCGCCACTTCCTCTACCGTTTCTGTCCAAAGCGGCTTGATCTGCAAAATATAAAAATGATGTGTATACCCTCCTTAACTCTGGTTTACAGGGTAGCCAATTCGTTGCTCAAGCTTGATTGCTCTTGTCTTTGATTGTCTAAATCAGCTTATGCTTATTCAAGGGTGGCTTGTAATTTAGCCAAATCAACTTGACTTCTGCGAGTGAAAGTGGCATTTTCTGAATCTTGCAATTGAGTGAGAGCGATGAGTTCGTCCTTGATTTGTTGTAGGAGTTATTTCAGTTCATTGAGGGAACCACCAGTTTTCATGTTAACTGTAACCAAATTGACCATAGACTTTCCAAAGGGATGATCTCCATATTGAGAGAGTCTGTCTGACATCTCTGTCAAGGTCGTAGCATATGTGAATGCGATCAAAGCCAACACAAGAATGTGCTTCATTATTTTATTTTAATAATGTTTTTCAAAAACGAATTATGTATTTAATAACATCCCATTATTCCCTTAATTGGACATCCCGAAAATGGAATCCTTGATCAGCATTCGAAGAGTAAGAAATGGGAATATCACACATAAACTATGAATACAACTCTCATAAAAATATCAAAGGCTCATAAACAAATCTAATTCATCTTCGTCATGCTCTTAAATTTTGAACAATTTCATAACTGGGTTTTCGGTGGAACTGAATATTGCCTACAGTTTAATGAATTCATCATTGTATTGTTCCGCTGCTTCACAATTTGCTAATGAAAATTTATTTGGTTCTCTATGCAAAATAGCATACCACGATTAGAGTAATTCCAGTAGACTGTACTATTGGATTTCATAATACTCGTTGATGGTAGGTGTACAGAGTCTCAGATTAGGATAGATGTGCGGATGTTTGATGGGAAGCAGTGCTCTGAATTCAGGAGCAGCGAATGGGAAGTTCTCGGGGAATTTCAAAATGAAGCTATAAATGCCGCCTTCGTAGGGAGTTCCCTCTTTGCCTTTCATGAGTATAATTAAGATGTGGCTTAATAGACAATCATCAAACTTTAGTCTGTAAACTTTGATGTGATCTAGTTTTTGGGAATTAAACTCTTTAAGTTCATTAGCTATTCTTGTTTGGGTTGCAAATAGCAACTTTGATCCTTTGAAATCTAATTGGAGTATTTTAAATAATTGTTCTTTGAATCCTTCCAAATCGACATCCTTCTCTTCGATCAATTTCGTAATGTTTTCGATTATATGGTTCTGCTCTTCCTTAAATTTCCTTAACAACTCCAAATACTGCTCTTCTTTAAATTGCTGCTGCATGTAAAAGAATTAATTTTTGCTATTTAAATAATTGCTTAGAATATTAATTGTGTTCATGCAATTCTCTACTAATATCAAGGTAATTCTAGCATTATAATATTTTTATATTTATTATAATAGATTTCTGACACAATTATAACATTAAATTAACACAGTAAAAATCAGAAAAATTTAGATGGTGCTTGGTTTCAAAATAAATTAGAAAGGTCATTTGATAATTGGAAGGAAGTAGAGGGATGGTTTATCGGGGAGAGAGAGTGACGGTTGAGATGAAGAGAATATTTAATATTATATTTATTTCGTAATCCGTTTGTGTGTAGTGTAAAACTGCAATAAATTCAAAACGGCTAATCGATGAATGATCACAATGAGAATACAGGAAGATAATATTTTATTTAATGAAAACGATATTGTTATTAGTTCTTGCCTGTGCAGCATTGGCCACAACAGAAACTGAATACATCCAATTGATTCATAGGATTGATGCCACACCATTCGGAAGAACCTTATTCGACACAATCTATCTCCAATTGGAAACAGGAGATCCCTTGGACAGATTATTGAACACCCTATCAGACTTGGAAGACAGATATTAATAGGAGTAGAGAGAGGACGACGTCGAGAACAGAGAATTCCAAGATTCATGCAATGTCGACATATCAGCTTATGATAAAGACATCGCAAACACTGACTCCGAGAGAATCTCCCTCGAAGCCAGACTTGAAGGTGATTTGTATCCAAGAAGAGCAATCATCTCAGGATTAGTCACAGCAAAGAAAGCAGAAGTCAAAGGTATTTAAAACAATTCAAGGACTTTTAGGATATCAAAAGGAAATCGATGAGTTGGATGCTGAAAGAGCAGCTCAACATGCCGATTTCGAAGAAATTGCAGCTGATCACAACACAGCCATTGCCGTTTTGACTGAAGCCAGAAACATCATTAAAGCCAATGTCGAAGCCACCTCCTCCTTAGTTTAAAAGAAAGCAACCCAATAAGTCAAGGAAGTGTCATCCGAACATATTTCATTGTTCTAGAAGCACATCAAGGAATCATAGAGAAAATTGTCACACTCAAAACACATGTTGAGATACGTCCCAGTCATGAAATTATTGAGTCAAATTGCAAGCAAGGCTAAGTTCGATGACAGCACAATTCAAAAGTAAGAACTTTCTAAATGTTTCTCTATAGAGTCGTTGATTTATTCGACAGATTAATTAATGAAGTTAGTGACTCATTGAGTCTCCAAAGATTTGCAGAGGACAAGAGAGTTGAGGCCTACAACAAGACAAGAAAACTCTTGGTTATCGCCCTCACAGTAGCTGGCTCAGAGTTAGCAAATGCTGAATCTGATTTCGCAAGTGTTTCAGATATCATCAGATAAGTCGAAGCCTCATTGGAGAATACCAACCAAAGACTTGAGTTACTCCACGAGAGAAGAACCGACAGATGGACTCAATGTGAAGAAGCTGCCAAAGACTATGCCGATGCCAGATCTGCTAGGTAACTATGTTGATTTAGTATTCCCTCATAGAGATTCTGATAGACAAGTCGTTTCTGACACAATTGGGTTAGTCAACAAAGCTTTAAGAACTCTTAGAGAATAGCTTGCCTTAAGATAAGCTGCTGGTGATAAGATTTGATAAATATGAAAAACCATAGATTAATATTAATAATGAATTAATACCCTCATTCATATTCGCCCACCCTCAAATAAAAGCATCGATCGGTCGTCCAACAACTCAGACTCAAATCGATTACTGTGGATGCCAAAAGAACTTTCGTGCTCTCCCAACCCAATTCTAAAAAACAGATCCTCTCTCCTCTTGTCAAGAAGAAATCCGAACAATTGCATTTCTGTATCAATGGCAAAGGCCAAATTGAGTCTTCCCAACCCAGGAAGATTCTCAGAAAGAGAAACAACAATTCTGAATATCAGGTTGCTATCACTCACTATCCTGCCTATCCCTTCACATACAGACAGAAAATAAATGATGCAGGAGTTGAGTCTATGTTTTGCATTAGAAAATACGAGTTGTTAAGGAAATAGAACAAATGATAAAGTTACTTAATTTAATAATTTATGAATTCTATCTTAAATACATTCAGTCCCTTATCCAAGGATCTCTACAATGAGTATCGTGGGCAAGTCATGGTCGAAGCCTTGGCCACCCAAAAAGTGCTCGTTATAGGAGCTGGAGGTCTCGGCTGTGAAATTTTGAAGACCCTGGCCCTTAGCGGAATCAAAGAGATTCATGTGATTGACTTGGATACAATTGATCTAACAAATTTGAATAGATAGTTTTTATTTAGAATGAAAGATGTTGGCAAATATAAGGCTGAAGTGGCAGCCGAATTCATCATGAAAAGGATTCCCACTTGCAAAGTGATTCCCTATACCAAAAAGGTAGCTATTTAAATGCTATTCGCAGATCCAAGAGTTCCCAATAAGTTTCTATTAAGAATTCCCAGTGATTATTGCTGGGTTAGACAACGTTGAGGCCAGGAGATGGATCAATAGGGTCGTCATTCAAATGGTCCAAAGGGATGAAAATGATAAAGTCATTGATGATACTCGTCATTATCTGATAGATGGCGGAACCGAAGGCTTAAATGGATAAGCCAGAGTGATCTCTCCTTTTGAGACAGCCTGTTACGAATGCACTCTAAGTCAACTCCCCAAATAATTGCAATATTAGATGTGTACAATCGCCTCCACTCCAAGATTGCCAGAGCATTGCATAGCCTATGCCTACGAGATCTTATGGTCCAAAGAATAACCCAACGTCAAATTGGACAAAGACAATTTTGAGCATATGAATTGGATTTACCAAAAGGCACTTGAAAGATCTAAGCAATTCAACATTGACGGAGTCACATACAAACTGACTCTGGGTGTTGTTAAGAACATCATTCCTGCAGTTGCTTCAACCAATGCTCTAATTGCTTCAATATGCACTGTTGAATGCTTTAAAATCTTGACTGGAAATGGAAGCCAATTGAACAACTACATCCAATGGTATGGTCAAAATCATTAGACCGGAGTGGGTATCAATGTCATACAACAGGAAAGATTGGAGGAATGTACTGAATGCTCTATCTAAACTTTGGAGATTCTAGTAAAACGGACTGATAAACTTTCTGTTCTATTGACACAATTACCACCAGACATTGAACTCTGCAGCAAGGGATAAACGTTAATTACTAACAACATTAGAAGGAAATAGGGATTTGATCATATTTTAGAAAAGACCTTCTAAGAATTAATCGATGAACAATTGATTGATGAGAAAACCGCACTCAAGGCTTTTGATAAAAATAAAACCATCAATGTAAGAATTAATTATGAATGATCAATAAAATAATAATCAAATTTCATATCCTGGCATTCTTTTATAACTTATGAAATCCATCATTGCACACATGTCTCCCACATTCCCCATCATCAAACTAAAAGGATTGTCGGAAATTCCAATATTAAATCTGTCCTTAAATGGGAAGCTCTTTATTTCATTATATATATGAGGATTCTTCTTGTATTGCAAGAATTAGAAAGCATACTGCCTCAACTTCTCACTCCCAGTTATTCTATACAACTGCATAAATCCATAACTGTTCCCTGGTATTCCATGACACAATCCATACCCTTTCTTAATCATCCCATACTTGTAGAGAGTTTCACTCATGTGTATCGCTGCATTCAAATAGTCCTACTTATTGAATATCTAATAAGCGTTTAGAATTGGAGCTATGGCTCCTGGTATTCCGTGGCAGAACTAAAACAATCTCAAATTCTTCTCATTTTAGGCCGAGGATGGAATATTGCCATTTTAATAATAGATCTTAATTAGATGATCCAATGTGGTTTAAATGGATTCTAACATTTAAAGTAATCCCTATTCATCTTTCAAATGAAAATACTCTTTGCATGACTCATAACTCAAAAGAAGCATTTAAATTACACCCAAAATTCCATGAGCTGCCCCGTAATACTATCTATTGCTAAATTAGCATTTCATAACGCCGTTCCCAACATACTTCATTATCACCTAACAAATGGTATGGATGTGAGAGGACAGGTCCAATTGAAATTGATCTTTTTCTTTTGAATATTTCTTATGCAACCACAACAAAGAATAAAGGTATCCTGGTATGCCATACAACAATTCTTGTTCGTATTTCTTCGTTTAAGCTACAATGTCTCCGAATTGATTCAATACTTCAGTCACACATCTTTTAAAATTCTCCTTGTCATTCATATAAAAAAACATATCAGCCCCCAATAAAGAAATTGCAGAGTTGCTCATGTAGAAGGAGATGTTATCATCAGCCTTTATAGAAGCCTTTATAGCATTGTATTATTGTTTGGCCAACATTAAAAATGTGTCTGGGTTATAAAACTCTGACAACTCTTAATCCGTCAATCCTTGAGTGCATTATTACTACAACTCCGGACTTAAACTCGAAACAAACTCGTATATCCTCAAATACAAATAAAGATATCCTCCAGCTCCACAGAAAACACTCAAGTCGCTCCTCTCCTGTTACTTTGATGAACATTTATCTGTAATGCATCCAATAGGCACATTATCTCTAAAATTCTTATACTCAGTAATGAAAGACTCGAAAACATTCTGAATGTGGTTCTCGTCGGGAATAGGATGAGATATATGAAATTGTGAATATCTTATATTTTATTCTTACATATTTAATTATTCTGTAATTATTTTAAACTAAATTAATAATCTATGATATATTAATATACACTACTCCATAAAGCTTAATATGCATATAAATATATTAAAAAGTTCATCAATAATAGGAACGTATTTTATAGGTTGTGTAGAGTTTTCCTAGGATTGCAAGAAAACAAAAGAAATAGATGGCCAAGACAAATCCATATTAATTATTGCATTAATAAGAATCAGAAAAACAATTGGAAAACTTAAACAGCCTTAGTAATAGAGATATATAATATACCAATAGAAATCCATAATTGCAGAAATTATCATTCCAATCGAATAAAAGTTTATTTGTTAAGTATTCCATTTTTTCTTCTGATACGGTATTGTCAGCAATAGCAGCATTAAACCTAAGAAGTCACATCTGGAGTATGCGATATTCAGGGTAATCAAACCGATCAAAGGATATATCATTTTATATCTTTCCTCATTCCCAAAGGTTTGTAAATCAACACCTAATTCATCTGGTTCTGTTTCACTGTGATTAAACTGATTGAATGCATCAAAAATACTAGCTTGAATTGTGTAATCAATCTGGATGGAGTCAGCTTACTTTAAATCAGTTTTATATGATTTTAAGTTTTAGGCTTGTTAAACAGGGACTTGTTATTGCAGTGAAAGCTGTAATGCTGGATTATACAATGATTTGTGCTGCAAACTGGTTGCCAGTTGATTCTCTTAGAATATTTTACTATGGGATAGTTGGTTTTAGGGTTTGAGTGAATTAATCACGTGTATTTCTTAAACCATCTGATGAGTTAAGTACATTGGAATTTATGGGAATTGAGTGTTTCTTTAGGTTGTGTCTTAGAGTTATGATAATCTGACAGATTACGGTTAGGATTCCTTAAGTTTAAGACTCTTATATTGGATAGTACTATTATTAGTATAGAGTTGTTTCATAAAGAATAGTTTCTTCTTGATTTGTTTGATTTCTTCTAAATATTAGTTAATGCAGTTTTCATAAAAAGAAACTTAAAATTAAATTGATTCATTCTATTTAAGATAATAACTCTTACCCAATCTTTGATAAATTGAATTTAAATAATGACTTCTCCAACATTTTCAAAATAGATTTTTTCTTGTTTGTCAAATTCGGAATTCAGCCCTTTTTTGAGAATGGTTTTGCCTAGGGATTGCTTATCCAATTTATCGATTTCGATTAATTCTATGGAGATGGTGATCTCAAAAACTTGATTGAGGGCGTAGTTAAATTTATCTCCCCAAACCGGGAATTCACAATTGAGACTTGGTTTGCTTATTCTCTCGATGCCATCCTAAGCTTCGTTGCAATGGAAGATGACTTCGATTTGTTTGTAAGCCTTGACAACGTCGTCTTGGGAGTGGTATAATTGGCTTAGACATGCTGATTGCAAGGTGAGTATGAGTTGAGAACAATTGGTCTAAGTGACTTTGGATTTGATATCATCCTCCAGGGATCTCAGGTGTTTGATTTTAATTTCGATCTATTTGATTTCTTCTTTGAGATTGGATTCTTTGTTCAGATATCCATGTGTGAACTCATCCTTTGATATCTTCTGATCTTGGTTAGTGTTAAGGTCATTGAAGATCTCTTGGACCAAATGCTGATCACACCCCTTTCGCTTGAGATGCAACTCCAATTCAGCCAAGGATAGCCATCCGCTTTGGTCGATATCTAGGGCTCTGAATTCAGCCTCTATCTCCTGAAATCGCGCTATTGATCATTTTATGAACTACAATACAGTGATCGAAATTCGGGTCTGAATTGGGAGCTGGATACTTTTCTAGTTTTTCAACGACCATTCTCTCAGGACTGATATAAACTTGTCTTTACATTTAATTAAATAAATTAACAAATGGATCGATCAAGTTCAGTACCTCGACCTGGATCTGGAGCCTTAATCCCTCCCTCGCAAGGACAGTCATACAGACCAAGTGGTGCACCATCTTAATTTTCAAATTCTCAAATGAAATTCATGAATGATCTAGTTTAACAGTAGCCAAACAGTTAGAGACAAGCTGTTAGCCAATAACTTGAATAACTAACTCCCGAGGAAATAAGTGAAATTTAGAGAAAGTTGGAAAACGGTGAGATTTTGCATGGTCTCTCAGCCCTACCAGAAGGAGCCAATATGACACATAAATTTATAGTTAAAGTGAGAAAGCATAATCAGCCTGCCCAACCAGTAAAGTCAACACCTCCTCCTCCACCGCCTTAGAAGTATGTTCCCTAATATTGTCCTGATTGTCTGAATAAGGATCAAAAAGTAATAGTTAAATTGTATTTGAAATTAGCTAAAGCAGTAGGATGCAAAGATCGAATAATTACTGGATGAAATGAACAAGATGAGCAAGTTCTTGGTTGACAAGAGTCAGGAAATTGAAATCTGGAAAAGACAATATATGGCTATTTAATAAGTACGAATTCCCATCATATCTAGGATCTTTCCAAGCCAAAAGTGATTGATAATTCAGATAAGTATCTAAAAGAGATCAACGATTTGAAAAACAAACTCAATCAAAAGGAAAATGAAATCCAATCCCTTGAAACCAACATCAAATAAATTTAAGAAAACCAAGATCAAATTGAATTGAGAGGTGGCAACAATGACGATGGCGAATTGGAGCAGTTGTAAAAGGATCTCTATGATGCCAAACAAGAAATCGAACTCTATAAGGAAGACAACGATAGATTGAATTATAAGTTAAGCAATATGGAGGCTCAATTACAGAATAGGAGAACAGAGATAACCACTATTTATAAACCTGATCCTGAAACCGAACGATAACTCAGAGAACTACAAAGCAAATACACTCTCCTCCAATCACAATATTACACCATCTCTGAACAATCAAAAACTTATTAAAAAGAAATCCAATATGAAACTAAAATCATCTACTAGCCTGATCCTGAAACAGAAAGATAACTCTAAGAACTTAAGCAAAAGTACACTCTCCTTTAGTCTTAATATTACACTCTGCAAGAAACGAGCAAGATAGTCTAAAAAGAAATACAATATGAAACCAAAGTTATTTACTAGTCAGATCCTGAAACTGAGAAATTGTTGCAAAAGAAAATCTAACAATATGAAGAACTATACGCTCGATATACATTGATTCAAGACTAGTATACCTCGTTGCAATAGAGACAATAAACCACAGTTTATGAAACTAAGACTATCTATTAACCAGATCCTGAAACCGAGAGACAATTACAAATTAAAATTGATCAATATAATCAATTGCAATCAAGATATAATCAATTACAAAATCAATTTTACTCATTGGAAGAGAGAAGTAAAATTGTTCAGAAGGAAATATAATATGAAACAAAAGTAATTTATTAGCCTGACCCTGAAACAGAGAGATTACTAAAATTGAAGACTCAATAATTGGAATCCATGACTACTAAGTGCAGTATGTTACAAGAACAAATTGAAACAACCAGAATCTAAATAGAATAGTATTAAACCAGAGTGTACTAATTCGAGTCAAGAAAATCAGATAGTGAAAACTACCAAATCTAAATTGAACAACTCAAAGATCAACTCAGAAGAGCTAATTCTGATATTGAGTAATACACTAGAAAGATCTACCAATTAGAATCCAACAATGAATAAACAGCGTTTCTTAAGAAGTAGATATCCGATCTTAAATTGCAGTATGAACAGGAATAGCAATTAACTTTCCAATTGAAACGAAGAATTGAAGAGATGAAGGCTGAACAATCTTAATATGAGGTCTATTAGTTTAAGATAAGGGAATTGGAAGTCCTTTTATAGTAAAAAGAGGATCGAATCAGATAACTTTAATTGGAGTCTGATTAGTATAGATCCGAGATGATTACTTATCAATAGAGAATATCAAGTTATCAGATTAATATTGACAACAATGAGGCTCTTAAGTAATAGATTTAATAGTGGAGAGAGAAGTATGAATAATTGGAACAAAAGCAGAGGTACTAAATAAATGAGGAGGTGAATCAATGGAAAATTAGATACGAGCAAATCGAATAGAGATACATATCGTTGTAATAGAGTTACGAGACTATTTAAATTACTTTGAATCAATATCAAGATAATGAACAATCAGAAGTTTTGAAATTAGAAATCAAGAGATTATAAAAAACTGTATGACTTAATATTTATGTTTAGATTGTTGAGTTGAGAAGTGAGATCGATAGATTACTAGTTTAAGCTTCGGATAATCAATGGTTATCAAAGAGATATGAGGAACAGTAATTATTAATAGAGCAATTCAAATCTCAATTGGAGGAGAGACAATCAGTCTAGAGGGAATACACTTATGAGATTCAGAACTTGAACCAAAAAAACGAGCACACCACCAGCACCAGTCAGAAGATAGTGACTACTTAATAATAATATACTCAGGATTCGAAGTCAATCTACCCATAGATGACTTAATAAACGAAGACGATTGAGTATAGTTCAGTCCAACCGAAGATCAATGAATATAGCTCTTATTCATCAAGGCCTATTGAGTATACGAGTGTGTAATAGAGACAGTCTTATTAACAATCTCAGTTTCTGTAACCGAGTCAGATCGTAATGAACGAATAAAAGCGAGTAATATATTTGTGAGTATGAAATTAGAGCAGAGTGGAATAAGAGTTTAGTTCATAGAGATGGAATGATAATTATGAAGTGGTATTGAATGAAGTGACTCAAAAGGAGAAGTAATTTTCATGATATAACAAAATAAATTAAATAAATAAAAAGATTTTATTTTATGAATACTACATCAATCCCAGCAGAACGTACACTGTTTGTTTCAAAATACCCTCAATAAACAACCACTGAACAATTAAAGAAAATATTCTCAGAATTTGGCCAAATTGAATAAATCACCTCTTAAGGATCAGGAGTTTGTATAATCTATAAGGAAAATCAAAGTGGTAATTTATTGTAATTATACATTCAAAGTCACTTCTGCTCTCTAAAAATCGATTAATATCAATGGTGAAGAGCCCTACGTTTGTTAATACTTAAATATAGCTCAACTGGATCTTGAAGCGAATGTCTTTATTGACAATATTGATAAGAAAGAGACTCAATCATCTCTTCGTTAACTTTTCAGCTAATTTGGAACCATCCTCAGTGTCAAATTATAGAAGTCAGACAAAGTGGGTGTTGCCTATATATAATTTGACAAAAAAGAGTCAGCTGATAAATGCATAGCCGAATAATCTAAATTAGGATTTAAAATTTAGAAGTATCTTTTTAATATTATTATTTAGATTTACATCCAAAAAACAACACAGAGATCAAGTGTACATAAGTAACATCAAAGTCCAGCCAAATGTCACTCCAGATCAACTAAAATCAGAGTTACAGACCTTTGTTTCCTCTTTTGGAACCGTGGAATCATTGGTTTTGAATAGAAACACAACAAATGGGACATTTTTTGCATTTGTAAAATTTGTCAATTAGGACAGTGCCAAAGCAGCTGTCAAATCCAACAAATTGTTTAATGATCAGTAAATCCACATCGAATGGGTCGTCAATAATGTTGACAAAGACATCGAAGCCAACTTGTTCACCAAAAATCTGAAAGCCGACATCACTGAAGAAGATTTGAGGAAAGCTCTCAATTTGGTAGTGCCTGTAGAGGACATCAAATTAATGCCATCAAAACAACCACCAAATGGTATTTCGTATAGTTTACCCATTAGGTAGTAGACCACCCACTCAAATAGCTTATTTATATTTCAAAACAGCAGACGACGGCAAGAAGCTTATCGCATATGCATACGATCATCCTCAAATAGGGTCATTATATGTGAATGGAGTGATATCACTTTCCCCTCTCTTGCCACCTTCCGAAGTGAATTCCCTATTGCAAGTGAAGAAAAATACATTCTAAAGACAATTCCATCAACCAGCATATTAATAATACCAATAATAGATGCCCCCTCCAGCCTATTATTAATAATAACAAAGATATCCTTAATAATAACCACCCAGATAGCATCACAATGGAAATAGATATCCCCAATAGAAGAGACCCTATTATCCCCAGCAACAACAAATCCCAGATTTACCCTAATTATAAGTTATGGTTGATAGAGGCTAAAAATAGCAAGTTACTGATTTGATTGGAATGTAGCTATTTCCAAAAGTAACCCAAGTTGTTGGCCCTATTAATGTAATAAATATTATATTCCAAGGCACCACAAGTTACTGGCATCTTGCTTGATTTTGAAAATTATTAATTAAGCGATTAGGTTAGGATGATTCAAGATTCAGCTTATTTGGGCGAGAATATCAGATAAGCACTTGAAATTCTTAAATGAGTATGAGTTTATTTTATTTTTTTGTAAAATAATAAATATGTAAAATGAAATAGCTATGTTAAAGATGCAAATGGGTATAATGGAGAAGGATTACAAAAGGAGAATCCAGACATTGGAAGACCGGAACATTGACTTAACCATGCGATTGGAGGAAACCAGAAGGAGTGCAGAACAACGAGTGGATAATCTGTATAAGGAGATGAAGCAATCAGCCATTTCAACTGTGAGTGAGCCCATCATCAGATACGAATATATAAAGACTCCTCAGGCCTCGTCTGTAAAGTCATTGAGTAATTTCAATAATCAATCTCAATCATCATCATAATCAAATCGTCAGTTGGAAAATCTCAATCTTGTTTTGGAAACCAAAATGCAAGAAATCAAGGCATTGGAAGAAAGGCTATTGTTGTTGAAACAGCAACATCAACAACAGTAAGATTAGTTAACATAGCATTACGAGAATATCTTGAAGACCAAAGTCAAGAATGAATTGGCAGCAGCAAATGTGCAACATGAAAGACAGATGTAATAGAATTAAATTGATATTTTCAATATGCAATACAAAATGAAGGCTTCTGATGAGAGGTTTAAGAAAATAATTGATGACAAGGATAAATTGATTGAAGAATTATAATTTAGAATCTAAGAACTAGAAAATAACGATTTGAAAGATTAGCTGAATTTAATGTAATAAAACAACATTCGATTAACTGAAGAATTCAATATGATGAAGAAGGATTTTAAGGCTGAGTTAGAATTGCTTAATGATAAACATTAGGGCGATTTACAACTTGCCTTCTAACAAGGTTTTGAGCAAGGGGATAACAATTAGAAGGCTTAGAACGAATTGCAAAAAGTTAATGGTTTGTACAAATAGGCAAATGATAAGGCTTTGAAATTGGAAGCTGAAAACAGATAAATTAACTTGCTCTTATCAACTTATCAATAAGAAATCCAGGAATGGAAAGACAAATACCAAACCACCATTATTAAACAAAAAGAGGAAATCGAAAAGCTTAGATAGAGTTTTGATCGCTAAAAGAAGGAGCAACTGGATCTAACCTTTAATGCAGAATACTTGCAAGAGAAGAATAAGTTGCTATTTTAATTAGAATAGTGTAACAAGCAAATTTAATAGCTTTAATAAATTAATGAAAAGAATGAGAAGGAACTAAAATATTATTATAGTGAATCATTTAATGCTTCCTAATTGAATAATGAAATATAATAATTACAAAGGCAATTGTAAATTAATGCTAGTGATTTTGAAAATTATAAAAAAAAGTCAGTCAAAATTGAAAAATAATAGTAGGATGACATCTCAAGATTAACTTTGGAATTAAAAAATATAAAGAATAATTTGGCAAATAGCACAGAAGATAGACACAAGGCATTATAAGAAAAATAAATTGAAATTAATCAATTAAATAATTAAATCTATGAATTTGAATAATAAAACAATAATTATCTAAATGAAATAGAGAGGCTGAAAAAAGAAATTAAATAGTAGAAATAATAATATTAATAATAAATAGAACAAAAGAATGAGGAAATAAGTTAATTAAATGAAAAAATCAGTTTATTATCTATGGAAAGGTATAACTTCGAATAATAATTAACCAAATAAAAATCATAGAGTGAATAATAAATGCAAAATCTATAAAAGAATCTAATATCATAAAATGAAATAATCGATTAATTAAATCAAGAATTGGAAGAAGAAAAGAACAATACATAATATCAAGAATAGAGCTTCAAAAAATAAATTTAGTAACTAAATTCCTAAATTAAAGAGTTGTAATATTAGAATGAATAATTAATTTAGGAGATCCAAAACATATAAGATCAACTTTCTTCTTATGAATAAGAAATTTAAAATTTCGATTTAGAAAGGAAAAAGAAGCAAGAATAAATTGGAAATATGGAGAAAAAATATAAAAATGCAATCGAGGAATTGTAAATGAAGGAGGATGAATTAAATGAATAGACTTCCAATCATTATAATGAACTGGAATAACAAAAGTCTGATTATTCTAAATAGTATGAGTAGTAAAGGAAAGAAGTACAAAAATTAGTGAATCAAGTTTAAGATAGAGAAATCTAAATCTAATAATACCAAGATTAGCTATTAAAATAATAATCTGAAGCCAGTAAGTTAAGAAATCAAGTTTAATTATTGCAAAACGAAAACAATGAATTGGAGTAGCAGATAAAGAAATAACAGAATTAATTCTAAAATGAAGTCGATAAACTAGGAGATCAAGAAATGCAAAGACCCTCTTTATTAGAAAGACATTCATAAATGAATTATTGAATTTATGTTTTAATATTTCATGATTGTTATTCTCTTGCCTTTTCTTACTTAATTTTATTTTTAATTTCTACCCAATCATACTTTTTGATCTAACATTAATCAACATAATTACATCATAAGCAAGCTTTTCAAATCTAGGTATGGTTTCTTGTTAGCTTGTTAATTCAAGGTATTTTTGTCTGTATGCTAGCAAAGTGTCTTGATGTACATTATATTGAAGAGCCAAATCAAGAGCCCTTTCCCATCTAAGATAATTATCTTATGAAAATAGTACTTATATAATTTGATATTCATTTTAATAGCTCTATAATACAATTTGGCTTGTGTATAGATGTTTTCAGCTTCTTGAGGTCTTTTAAAGAATAAAGCCAAGAGAGCACTTTTGGCCTTCTCGGATTCCACATTGATAATCTTTTAAATAAAGAGAACCTTATCTGCAGCCTCGATTGCAGCCAAAGCAATTTCAGCTGTATTAAGTTCTTTAAATTAAAGTGAAAGACCAGCAAGAGCAGCCCACAAAGTGTGTTCCTTGACATACCTACATAATTTGATAGCCTTCTCCCATTTTCCCCTTTCACAAGCTTCAAAGAGTAATGCAGGATATGGTGAAACACTTTGTGTCATAATAGCACCGTCCTTTCTACGAATTTAGACCATGGTATCTTAGAATGACAAAATTTATGAGTTTCTGGTTAGATCAGTGCACTCCTTACTTACTTTAACTTATTCTAATAGATCTCTGTCCACGTAGACTGATGTTGGATAGTACCACACAACGAATCTTTGATCGGAAATAGCGCATAACATATCAAATTTCTCATTCCATAAAAATGAATCTGTCATGGCAGCCAATTTAACTATATCTTTTTTATGAACAGGAGTAATATGTAAGTCTCTGTTTTAATCAACAAAGGCCAATTTTCTTTCTCCGATCATTTCTGTTTGATTTAAATTGATTTCAAGAATTTCTAAAGAATGTTCAACTGTGAAATTCAAAGCTTTTCCTGAGTTCATTTCGTAGAATTTGACGACTTTGTTATTGCCTCCATCAACTAATGCCAATAAATCATTAGAGATAGCTATCTTTTTATGAGATAAATGTTCAACTAAGAATGTATTAATAATTAGTACATTTTGTTCCCTGAATTTTGGGATTGCTGATCAATCTTCCTTCATAATTGTAGACCATGATTCCTGAACTTACTTCGACTAAGCAAAAGTAATTGGCACATTAACAAATTTGACTGACTGAGTCTCTGATGTCGAATATGTATGGAGTGTTCCAATTTCTAAAAGAATAGATGTAACAATGTGAGCTGGTTGTAATAATGAGATTGTTGTATTTCATTGACATGTTAATTACTCTTTCTTTGAAATCGAACTCACTATTCATCTCATCTATTAAATCAATAATTTAAATTCTAAATTTAATTTAAACTTTTATACTTATTATCCTCTGTCAAGGTGATCTCCCACTTATCGTAAGTGATACATCTTTCAACTACATGACCAAATATCACACTGCCATTACCGGCTGCTCCTGCACAAATAGTCCCATCACTTGTCCAAGCTATATTTAAAATACTTCCTTAATTAGTTTTATGAAAAGAATAGGTCCAACCTGTTTTATCACATAGTCTCAACATATCATATGCACCTACGGCAAAGTAATCACCATTAGGACTCCATGCAACTGATGTTATCACATAATCATATGGAGCCGATGCAAACAACAATCTGCCGTAAGTATCAAATACTTTGTATTTACAATCCTCTCCACACGACAATATCAAATTGTTTGTATGATTCCAATCCACCTTTAAAACCAAACCATCATGGGCCTTCCATTGCACTTATTTTTAACCTGCTTATAATGGTTTAATGTAGATCATTTTATCAGAACAATAGAGTATACCATCATTGTCTGGACTCCAAACAATGCAATATATTGGTTTATCTATCTACACTAAATTTGATCTGATTATTCCTGTTTTACTCCAAATCTTTAAAGCACCATCCTCACCACATGTTGCTAATGATCCATCTACACTCCACTTGATGCTTATGATCTATGTAATTTATAATTAATTAGTTACAGCTCCTTTGTGTGCTTCCTTCTCCTTCTTTTCCACCTTTCCTGTCTTTTGTTACAATATGAATGAGCCATCGCTAAATGCTATAGCCACTAGATCTGTTGATCCCCTCTATCCCTATAGGAAATCGAAGTCTGTGCCATATCCCTCCAAATCCACGAATTTCGATGACTTTAAATTACAATTTAATTTACCTCTAATGAATTAGGATCCCATTTCAAAATTGTATAATCATCACTCAAACTAAAATCATCAAAATTGACATTATACCTATATGCCTCATTGTTCAATCCCCATTTTACAGAAGTGCAAATATCGGCATGCTTAGTATTCTCATTAACCTTAATTTTGAATCTCATTTAATATATAAATTATCAAATATTTCATGTAACTTATATCCACTTTATATATATATTTTTTATTATTTAAATCAATCATTATCTTCCAATCGTTTTTTTGGAGCAGCTAATCTTTTTGTAAATTCTTGTTGCTTAACCGATTTCTCATATTGAACAGCCTACTTAATTGGAGGCAATTTATAGGGATATTTAATTGGCAATTGTTATGATTTGTATTTTCTTAAAGTTTCCTAAAAATCTGGTGACAATTAAGCTTTATTTTAAACTGTTTTTGCGATGTAGGTATCTCTTCCTGTTCCATCAGAAAAATAAAACTATCTTTTTTCAATTGAACCTCCTAGGCGCACGCTACTTGGAGAGCCATAAGCCCCTCAAAATTAATTTACTACATACATGACTCTGCCATCCTGTTAACCAAAAATCTGGATTGTGCAGGATAAAATCCTCCATTGTTGAAAAATATATACGAATCCCTACCAGTTCCATCCTATGTGTACAACTTTGTCATTTAGTGAGTCATCAATAAAAGATTTATGATAAAATAATAAGAATATATAAATTAATATCAAAAATATCTACATCAATAATTAATTAACAAAATGATCGAGAAGATCAATTAATTTTTAAAGACTAAAACTCCCCTTATGCAGGAAGTTTAATTATTTATTGACTGCGTAAACCCAGATTATACATACCATATAAATAGATATTAATATTTCATTTCTTTTAAATAATCAACAAGAATATTAGCTATTGGAGTAATTTTGTTCCAAATTGTTCATTATTTGAATCTATAAGCAATTTAACTTCGGTTTGATTCTTATCAGATTTAATTTTACAATAAAATTGAATAGATTTATAATTCATACTGCTTAAGTACTTCTTTTTGGTTGTGATATAATTAGGAATTATCTTCATTATTTTCTCCTCGTCCACAATGACATTAGGACATTAACTGATTAACATAGTATGTGTATCATTGTTCTTAATTTCATCCATATGGTGTAGATATGCTGCCTCTGTAAATTTATTGAATTGTAAGTATTTGTGTAATAAATTTGGTATTAAAATGTATTTGTCTATTTTTTATTGGTGTAACTCATAATTAAGTTACAATTGTAAAAGTTCATCCTTATCATTGTAAATAATCTACTTGAGGGACTTTTTAGAATTCAAGACCAGATCTCTAATTCTAACACTAATGTTGACTGGTTGTTTATAGATCAGAGATAATTTGATGTCATCATTTGTTCTATTCAATATTGTAAGGGATGATTCGAATTCAACAGAGTCACTCAACTATAGTAATATTTATATTGATCTGTCATCGTAAATGATTCCATATTTAGAAAAGCAACATTTCTTTAAACATAGTAATTCTGATTGTTCAAGTTCATTCAGCAGATTCTAATAATTGTAACATTGAACATTAAGTTTTCTTTAGACGAATTAAACTCTCTTCTTTTATTTTTTATCATTTTCATTCTTTTTTAAAATAGATGAAATTTGTTTTATTTGACTTGTTTAATCAGTGGTTTCAGTTATATCACTTATTATAATTTGATCTTCCTCATCATCTTCAAATTTCATTAATTATTATGATTAAGATTGCTATTGGCCAAATGATACACTTAGAGCTTCTTTTGATTTTGCATGCTGTTATAATAATATTGCAGAATGGGGTTTTTATATTGTTTAAGAAGTTTGGTTTTGTTTCTTCTAATATTCTGCTAATTCTATTCTTAATTGTGAGTTAATTTTTTGCAATCTCTAATTGTAATGGAATTATAGTTCCCATTTATTTTTCCATTTTATCAATTCTTAATCTTCATCAGTCTGTGTTTCTTTTTCTTCATATTTCTATTCTTAATCATTCAAGAATATTGAAGCTCGTGATTCAAATTAAAATTTGAATTCTTCATTTTTTGGTTTCATCACACTTAGTCTCGGTTTTTCTATTTAGCCAGGATCGTAATATGCTAATATTTTGTTTACAAACATATAGAGCTCAATTACTTCAACTTCATCTTTAAGATTAACTTATATTTATACCTTCTTAACACAAATAATTAGATTAAAGACTCTTACTTTGATGTTCAAAATATTCTTTAAGTAAATCCAAAAAGTGGATTTATATTAATGATTTAAAATTAGTATCATTACAACAAATGATTTCATTTATCAATTATAAGATTCTGATTTTTTTTTTAATCTCAACCAATTACATGTGATCTCGTAAATTTAAAATAAGCTGCTCCTGTTCATTTTGATGTTATAATATCTCATCTATTAATTGATCATATATATCTAAAACCTAATCATCTTCACATTCTAAATATTTTTTCAATCTATTCATTTGTTAATTATATGAATAACTTTATGAAATAACTGACATTAATTCACTTTTTAAATAAATCAATCATTTTAACTATACCAAACATACTTTTCCATTACAAACTTCAATGATTTTGTTAAATTAGATCTAATAATTCCGTTTACCTTATGATGGAATTAAATTTTTCTATAATTTCTTAAAAAATTACAAGAATTTTCTAAAATATCATTAAATCAAATTTGGCCTTATCTTTAAATTTCAAAATTTTCAAAGTTTTCTTACTCATGAATTTGATAATAGTATTAATAACAAATTCAATAATTAAACAACATTACTAAACTTTGTAATTATTATAGAAGAAATCTAAAACTGTATATTTGACAATTAAACTGCAATGAATGTTGATATCAATTTTCAAATTTAATATTAATAATGCACTTTGTAATTAAGAAAGTAGATCTTCTGTATCTATATGTTTCTATTCTAAAAAATTGATTATAATTTTATTTTTATATAAAAATATCTTCAGAAACGAATTTAATTGATATATCGTTAATGTATTGATTTTAATGAGCTTAATAATTAATTGATAACTATATTGAAGTGATTAAAAACAAAATTATTTTCTTATTTAGCTAATTCATTTATAATTTTATATTTCTTCACCTAATTGAGGATTTATTAATTTAATCAATAATACTAATAAATAACAAAGTGCATCTTTCAAATTCAAAAAGATAATTTAAATATTTAGACATGATATTTATGGGCTATTTATTTAAAAATAGCAAAAGTAATTAACTTATTTCTCAACTTCTAGAATAATTAATATTATTAACAGGGATGTATTTAGAGAATTTCAAAAAAAAAGAAGATGTAAAATAATTTCAAATATACTTTATCAAATATGATCATAATTTCATTTTACTTTAATATTCAAAGTGATTTTATGATAACACATAATATTACAAAACATACAATGGTATTGCAAATTGTGAAAAATTGACATCCAACTGATTCTTCTGAGAAATTTTATTGCAAATTTGATATGTATTATTTGAAATTCTCAAAATTATTTTCTGATTTCTTGTCTTAACCCTCATTTAACTCTGCATAGTTATTGTTATAAGAAGTTTAATTGTATTATTGTTATTGAGAATAAATCTACATATTTACATAAGGGGCATATTGGTTAGAAGCATTTTCATTGTTATTTTAAGTGAGATCTTGAAGTTCCTATTCCTTTGGTTAAACTTGATATTAATTCATTATTAATAACTAAATATTATTATTATTATATTTATATAATGACAACTCTTAAAGAAGTTTATAATGAAATACTATTTTTGCTTCCAGACTAACCAACAAATAAAACCTTATTAACAATCCTGCTTATCCATAGTATTAACGTCAAGGAAGGACTGAAGAATAATGGAATAAATGAAAATGATGAAAGTCATGAATGGGTTGGTATAGCTGAAGGATGGGACTTGCCAGATGAGGGTATTCTATTAAAATCAATTTTAGGGGTATACTCTCTTAGATATATCAGTTAAAATAAAGAATAATGTTAATTTAAATTTTTAACACTTCCAGAACAAAATGATACTTTATCCATTAATGCAGTTATTCTAGGAAGAAATGACTAGATATATTCTTATAAGCTTCCAATTTCATAGTTAAACTTTGACAATTAGGATTTACTATTTAAATCAAATATAATTAGTGCTTACAAACAATCAATTTTATAAAAAATTATAATGAAAAAACAAGAACCTGAAAAGATAGAAAAATAAACCAATATTTTATTAGAATAACCACCTTAATAATAGTAACCTTCAGGATTACTTTGGAATCTGCCTAGGAATCAACCATTTTCGGTTGGAAATCAAGATTTAAATCCCTTTGCCAGAACTCCTTTTGATAATAGAGGGGGTATGGGTGGAAACTTAATGGGCCCTCAACATTTTTAAAACTTTAATTAAAGACAATAACAATAATAATAATCCAACCCTTTTGCTCCTCCAGGTGCAAGATTTGACCCTTTTGGCCCTGAACCTGATATTAACCCGTTTGGAGAACCTAGTAACAAGAAACCATGGCCTGACCCATTCGGGAGAGGAGGACAATTTCCCTTTTGATAAATTTATTTGATAATTTTATTTATTTTTAATGACATTCTTATGGGCAAACATCGAATTTGAACTTAGCTCAATTAGTATGAGATATATTAATGATTGGATTTGGTAATAAATACTATTTACAATAGGTATCACTATTCCATTTTAGCCATATTTCCTCTTTGGATAATAGGGTTATATAGAATTTATCTGCATATATTTGATTACTAAAAACATCTCTAGATAGGGCAGTAGAAATTTATGAATGCGATCGTTTTTACTTTAGTAAAATTAAATTAAACTTAGACAATATATGCCCCATTTTATTATCTGTTTGATGCCCTAATTTCTGTTTGTGAAGGTACATACTTAACTGAATGTAGATTCCCTTACTTTTTTCATCATATGGTATTTAAAAATTAATAATCTCTTCTTAGATAGCAATAGTGGTGTAACCATTTTTGTTGAGTAGATATGTTCTTAATTGGTGGGATATAATGGTTTGTTCTACTCATGCTATTTTTGTAAAATATCCTAGAAATGCAATAATCCCATATGTTTATGTTTCTTCTATTTTTATCTTCAATTTGAGTTTGTATGTAGATAGATCTAGTTGGAATAACAGATTTGTGGGAAAATATTTCCCTGTAATCTATTATTCATTTTTTGTTATTTTTGTCTCAAAGGATTGCGATAGTTCTTTACCATATTTGGCAGAATGATGAATATTATTAATTTAACATTAAATTTCATTAATTAATCATTTCGGTTGACTCTACTTTTATCATTTGTTTGGCTTCTCCATTTTCATTCAATCCAATAATCTCTGGACTTAGAGTTTAAAATGATTGCTGCACTGATTATTCTTATGATCCTTTGTATGTGAAATCCTTATCTACAATTTAAACAAATATTAAAACATGAATCTAATTCATCAATGATACTACATTGTTCAGACATACTCGATTTAATGAATTATGGATCAAAATAAGTAACGTCTGCCTCATTTTACAAGGTAGGTAAAAATGGTGCAGTTTCTTTCTTATTTAGTATGGCATCAAAGTCAATATTAAACCATTAATGATCTCTAATGTTCGTGGTTAATCTATTCTTTGGATTCTTTTCTAGTAATCTATAAATTAGATCTTGAAGTTTTATTGAAAATTGACCCATATTTGGTTGAGAATTTACTATGCAATATTCTAAATCTTATTTATTTGATGCAAAGAATGGAGGGTGTCCTGCTACCATTTCATATAGGAAACAACCAAATGCCCACCAATCTACGGCTTTACCATATTATTTTTTTTAAAGTATTTCAGGGGCCATGTAGGCTGGAGTTCCGCATATGGAGGAGGCCCCTGAAATATTAGTGAAGTCTCCCTTTTTGCATAAACCAAAATCCGTCAATTTCACATACCCATCCTAACATATAACAATATTCTCTGGTTTTAAACTAAAATTATTTATAAATTTAACTCTCTAAAAATTATCCCTTTACTATGAAGATATTCCAATGCTAGAATGATTTAGGCAGCATAAAACATAGCTCTAAAATATATTAAAAAAACATGTCTCACGTATGTTCACTAAAATGTTTTTGTTTGCTCAAGAGATAATACATCTCTCCACCTGGGCAATACTCCATGCAAAAATACAAATGGCTAGCAGTTTGGAACGCGTACACTAATTTTATGATGAATGGATGTTAAATTTCAATCTTAATTAGATAAGCCAAACCATTATGTTGCGCTCAATTCGTGCATCTTGTTTTAAGCCCGATTTCTTGAGCACTTTTAATGCGTAAAGATGTTTTGTGTCCTTCTTTCTCACTAATAGCACTTTGGCATATTGTCCCTTCCCTATCACACAATTCATTTCAAATGAATCCAAACTAACTTCCTTTGAAAATTGCTTTGTCAAGCAAAGTTATCCTATTTCATCTTCCTCTATAAAATCCATATTTATTAATAAAATATTATTAAATATTTGTATTTCTATATATATAACAATACTTAATATATGATAATTAAATAATACGATTATTAATTGATCATTTTTTAATTATAGGGAGGATATTATATTCTATATTATTGATATTCAACCTCTTATTAATTTAATATGAATGAATTAATCAAAATATTTAGCAACTTGATTATGAGTTTTTGATTGTCTTTATATCTTCTTTATGCTTTTGATTTTTTAAATATTCTAACTAGGAACTTAAATCTTCTCTCTTACTATCATAATCCTCTAATGTTTCTATTAATATTTTCAACTTTTTTATTTATTCACAAGGGTTTTTTTCATAATCCTCATTTATGATTTCTCTTAATTCCTGACGCTACATCTTAGATAATTCTTTATATTTATTGTGTTATTTTTCAAGGGATTCAAGATTAATCTCATTACGAACTCCTATTTGACAAGTAGTATTGTAGTGTTAGTCTTCCTTAATATATGATTCAACGTGTTACTTGAATACTAAACAGGTATTTTAAATTTTCTTATTCATTTCTTCCAAAATTTTGCTTTTTAAAATTACTTTATCGAATTTCTATAAAATCTTCTTCAGACAATCATAATTATATTTATCTTCACCTTAAATAAATGTACTCCATTCTAAAGAATTTAAATACAAATTTCGAGGATCTTATTTTTAAGAATCATCTTATATCTTCTAAAATTTAATTTTAAGATTCTTAAAATCCTCTTATTTTAATAACTCCGCTTTCTTAATCTTGTCTTCAATTTTTTAGAAAATTGAATCGATTATATTTATAATCATTTACTATAATAAACTTACTATCTTATAATTTAAAGTAAATTATTCTTTTTATAATTTTATTGGAGTTGACTTAAATAAAGATTTCAAAATCTAATCCTTTTTCACATCTGTAAACTCCTCCTATTACTATTCTATTGTTGTTATTTTTCTCAAAACAACTATTTCTTTGCAGAATGTCTCATATAGATTTTTGATTTCATCTTACACATTATAAATTAAGTTTTATATATCCAAATTGTCTTAATACTTGTTAAGAATGATATTTAAGCTTTAAATACTATTTTTATTTCTACCCAAATATTTCTAAATTAATTATTACAAATAAAATCCTCTATTGTATAATTCCACCTATGGATGGTCTAAAATTAAAAAAATCTTTATAGAATATTTCTCAATTAATCTTAAAAACAGTTCCTCAAATATTAGATTATTTTGATGATTTTCTTCCATCAAAGTAGAATCAAAATCCAAAAATAAATGAGGTTCAGACTTATTTATTTTAAAAGTATTCAACAGGCAAGACTCATTACTCTGATACATACTTTTCCTCTTTTCTAAAATATTGAATTAATCTGTTTTTTAAAGATATTCATAAAAAGTTGTCTTCCCACTTTTTTGAGATCCTATTAAAAAAACAATCGTAATATTTTATTAATCCTGTATTTCTTCTTGAATTTACAACCAAATTTTTTCATATCTTTCTGATAATCTCAAAAATTCATCCATTGGACTTTATGAATTCATTTATTTCATCAATGTAAATATTTAAATATGAATAAAAATGTATTTTAATATTTGTATTTATTTCAAAAATTCTATTATAAATCAAAATAGAATTTGCATTGTTTAATATCATTTATTTTTTATTATTAATTGTAAAGCAAGATAATAACATTAATTTTAGAAGATGGACTAAGAAAAGGATTAATTCTAAGAATTTGAAAAGATGATTGATGAAATAAGTGAATTGTTGACAAAGTTTGATGAATAATTATAATAAAATTTAAAAGTCGCAATGATTGTAGGGTCTACAGGAAATGGAAAAAGCACTGTATTTAATTTCCTCTCAGGATTTGAATTCTAAATTAACTAGGAAGAAAAAAAAAAAATTAAATATCTAGCTTTAAAAAACCCTAACGAAAAATATGCTTCTCATATGGCTTCTGGATCTAAACCAATAACATAAGTACCGCAATACTTTTTTAATAAGAATAATAATTACTTATTGATTGACTTTCCTGGATTTACTGACCCAGGTGGACTTATAAAATTATCTTATATTTCTATCTTGTTCAATAGAATAGTTTTAAAAACCCCCATTAGACTTATAACTGTCCTCAAAACTCCAGATGGAGATTTGCCGAATCGATAATAAGAATTAAACGATTTTATTAAAAGATGTTTTGCCTAAGATATAAAATAATTTTCTCAAGTAACTTTAATCCTGAATTAATACATGGATGATTTAGAAGATAAAGATCTCATTGATTTGGTTAAAAATTAATTCTATGAAATTTCACAAAATTAAGATATATATGAAAATATAGCAGTGATAAGAAAAATAAGGAATGATGATGATCTTGAAAGGAAATTGAATGAACAAAAAAGACAAGAAATATGGAAAGTAATTGAAAATTCTAATCCAATCAGATTTAAATCAACTTAATTTGATAAGCAAGATGAATTGGCAAAATTAATTAATTAAAAGCTTGATTAAATTATGCAAAATTTAGTTGCTGTAATCTCTAAATAGGTTGATAATTCTCTTAATAAATTGAGCAAATAAACAATAGAGGACTTGTATTAACAATTTTATAACATAGAATTGCTTGAGAAAAAGTAGAGTCGATCAACTATTTTTTCTATAACAAACGAATTATTAGAAACAATGTAAGAGATTGCAAAAACATTAGGTTGGGAAAATAATTAGAAGAATGAAATTACAACTTTTTTAAAGATATTTAAATTTATATCATTAGAAGAAGATGTTATTTAGATTAATGAATACTTAAATAAAAACAGACAAGTTATTTAAGGCAAATTAATCATTCAACAGAAAACAATATTCAATAGGATACTTGCGATTGCAAAAAAGAATGATGAAGATGAAATTAATTAAGAGAAGTAGAGATAATAAAATTTAAATGAAAAACGTTTAGAAGAGAAAAGATAAAGGGATTAAGAAGCTAAAGATGCAAGATAAAGGGATTAAGAAGCAAGATAAAGGGAATAAGAAGCTGAATCTGCAAGGTAAAGGAATTAAGAAGCTGAAGCTGCAAGATTAAGGAATTAAGCAGCTTAGGTTAAGTAAAATACCTAAAATAAAAGTACATGCAAAATAATGTGAATAACATATGAGATTTACAATATTTTCATTAAGTATTTGTTAATATAATTATAAATTTTCGGCATTCAAATATTTCTTCATCTATCTAAGAATTTTAAACAAATATTTACTTATATACATTAAAAATAATTGTTAATTTCTAAGTCTCTAATTTAATAAATATTATAAGATAAAAATGCTTAAATTGATTACTAGAGGATATCAATTTGCAAGACAAACAAAATAAGCAAAGCCAAATAAATAAACTTAGGAAAATAAAGAAAGTAATGAGAAAATGAAAAATATGCAACAACTAGTAAAAGTCTATATAATTAAGGAATAAATATTTAGATCCTTAGACTTCTGATGCTTTAGATAAATACATAGACTCTTTTGGCAATAGCTCTTTTTCAAGTCTTATAACCAAAATTTCATAAGATATAACTTCAGAGCATAGTCATTTTAAATGTATTTTATAATCACAATTAAAATAGAAATTTGTAAGCAAGCCTAATAAAATAAAGATTTAAGGTCATTAGTGAAAGATAAAAATTCTGAATTCATGAAACAAGTTTTAGAATTATAGAATAGTATAGCTCCCAATACAATTGTAAATAAAGATGAAAAATCATCATCCTAAGTGAAATAAAAGAAAAAGAAATGAATAATGTGTTTATAAATTATATGTTAAAAATATTATGAAATGTAGTTTCAATACATAAATATAATCTGTTAAATTTAGAAAAATTAAAAGTATTTACAATTAATCATGATATACACATCTATCAATTAAATACTTTAATTCTACCTTCAATTTATGGATTCACTGTTATATATATATCACCTTAATATTCTTTTAGTCCTGATATTATAGACATATGTCTTTTATATTTAGTTTATTCTAAATCTTCCAGAGTATTACACTTTATTTTTAATTTCCTTATTCCTTCAAAAAACTAAACAAAGACAGATTTTATTTAAATTCCTAATGTTTTATCAAGTAAGTATTCAGTTTACATTGGATATCCGTCGCCTCCTTCAGCTATAAATTATTTTGTGGCACATGTATATATTTTTTATAAATCCAAGGGTTCATTATTAATTGTTACAGTAGAAATCCTATTCATTGGATTTTTTTAAAGCGAATATTCAAATTTCATTCCTGACACTCCTAAAAATCTTCCATCAGTTGAAGGAAGTTTAGATACACTAAAATCATAATAAATTCTGATACCTAATCTCAAGTAAATTTAGTAGTTTTTCTCCTGAAATTTTAAAGCTTACAATATTATCTGGAATGGCAAATAGTTTGTCTAGAGTCTGATATGTGATAGGGCCAGATTAAAAATACTCATCTGCTCTAATAGTACCACAATTTATCAAGGCTAGAATAGAAATAAATTAATATAAAACCTATGTCAGTCTAAAATTCTAATCTTATTATGTCTGAAAATAAATTAGCTGTTGTTGTCTCTTCACTTCTTACTATAACAAATCTTGCTTCAAGATCATTTTCGATAAATCCAATTATCTTTTAAGTTTCTAATTTTCATCTATACAAATACTTTCATTGTAAACTTTAATTTTTTATTGTACAAATTCATCCATAATTGGGTCAATTGGAATTTTACCATAAATATTAATTGGATAATAACTAATGTTATATTCTTTTAATTAATATTGTATAGGCTGGGGCACTTCAAATTATAAATTTAATGTTTGTGGCTGAAATAAATCATCATTATTTTTGGGAGAAACTTTAATTAATCCTAAATTCCTGAAGTTTGTTCCACTTTTACAATAAAATGTCTGTTTTATTTACTCATGATGCCATAGATGATCATGTCCTCCCAAAACTAAATCTATTAATCCCTCGTCTAGAGCATTAATTAAAATTTAATCATTAGGAATTCTCATATGTGTTAAGGCAATAATGAAATTGCATTGAAGATCATTCCTAAGATATTTGCAAAGCTCATTAGCAGCATCAATAAAGTTTCTATATTCTATTTGAGCTGCAGGAATGTCTGTTATCAACCCTAACCATTCTTCTTCAGCTAATCCAACGAATCCAATGTTAAAATTTCCGATTGATTATATTTTATATGGAAGTACATTTGCTAAAGGCTTTTGAGTAATTTTATCATACACATTACTCAATATCCATGGTGTGTTTGATTGTTGGAGTAAATCTTCTAATTGATCCAATGGAAAATCAAAGTCATGGTTGCCAAGACAAGCTACATCAATTTTAAATTGTTAGAGTGGGTATATGATGTGGGAACCTATTTGAGTTGAATTTATAATACCATGATAAATATGAGTCAAACTGGATGGACTAAAGACATCTCCAGAAAATAAGGTTAAGGAGTTTGGCAAATTTTATTTAAGTTAATTCATAACATATAAAAATCTGGCTGCTCCTCCTTTTGGTTCATGTAATTACTCTTCAATGTCATAGACATCATTAAAATGAAGAATATAAAAACTAGATTATTACATATATTTTATTAAAATTAATAATAAAAATTACACTCAACAAAATGTATGAGTTTAAATCATTTTATTCCACCTATCCATTATAACAATTTCTTTAAAAATATAAATGCCACCTGAAATAGCACTTACAACCAAGAAAATACACACCAAGTAGATGACTAAATAATTTTGTTTTGGGTTTAATTCCAAATAGTAATACATTGGTCCTGCAATCAGCAATCCACTAAACAATCCAAGAATAAAAAAAAATAGAATTTCATTTTTATTCAAATCTCCTTATTAATATGAGAGGATTGTCGTAAACAAGGAAATAAACAACTTTTGAAATCCTCCAGTTGCTGATGCTACTCTAGAATTGACGTTTTAAAGGATCAGAATTGAAACAATAATAGCTCCAGCTCCTACTCCTGTCATTCCTCCCATAATTCCTCCTAAAAACCCAGAGATCCAAACAATCATGAAGAATTTTGATTCAATAAAATTAAAATCCACCTTTTCGTAAAAATATCCTATTTCTATTTTGGTTTTTGTTTCTCTAGCTAAATGATACTTGATTCCATAAGAAATCAACAATAATACTACAATAATCATTCCTGTGGTAATCCAATAGACTGCCTAGTTATTATTTATTAATTTACCATCAGAACAATATTATATTCCTATAAAAGATTGTTATTTCTTTCCTCCTCTAATCATTAAAACACATTACACTATCATAAATATTATTAATAATAGCAAAAATTTATATAAAGGAATTACCTGTTAATCTTCTGAATTATATTATTCAGCAATTAAATTTGTTACTTCTTAATTAATGAACATGTTATATTTATTATCATCTTACAGTTCTTATTCTCTATTCTATTTAGCTTTATTATACAATTTTGGAACAAAAATTGAGAAAAAAACAATAAGAATAGATATCAGAAAGATGTCTGGTAAAATCTAATGTAATATATTCCCAAAAGCACTTCCAAATAAAGCAGTCGGTAATAATATAAGCGAAAGTTCATAGTCAATTATTTATTTATTTGCTAAGGGATGCTTTTAGTATATAAGCATGAGAAAATTAACTAGATTGGTTCCAAAGGTCAGTACATACACATAGAGTGTTGCTTTAGATTGAGAAAAATTCATCATTACAATTAAGATTGGTATTTTTTCAATTCCTCCTCCCAATCCACCAACTGTTGATAATCCCAATATGATGATTATCAAGAGATAGCCTAGACTATTGTAAAGAGTTAAAGGGAATAGATCATCATGAACACATTGCCCATCCTGCAAATGATGGAAGTATTCACATTTTTACTCTAAATGATTAAACATTTTATTTATTTAAATATTTGATGATTATATAAATATGCAGTAACTAATATTATCTAATTCAAGACGATTCTATTATTAAGCCTTTGTCCAATGAATTAAGTATGGATTCTCTTTACTTTAGTTTCATATTATAGATTACTAATTAAATAATATAAATTATATGTTGACTATAATAAGAATAATATTATATATATGCTTTTAGATGATGATATGTATTTCATGCCGAGTTACATTATCTTTGTAAGTATTTATGCTATTATTATTTCAAGAATATTTTCGATTTTGAGTACACTAAGCTTTTTCTTTTTGCTTTTCAAAGGACCTGGTATTCTTTGTTCGACATAAATCAATAGCGAGTAAAAAGTTTAAGTTTTTACTCCTCAAGGAGATAAATAATTTCATTTTACTGATAAAACCAATAAGACAGCTGCTAAAATTTTGCAATCATCTCTTGTCATTTATAAAAGAAAGCATCTGAATTCAATCAAAGAAGATGAATCAATAAAGGAAGAAAAATAAATTGAAATCCCATCCCTCATCTAATAGGATAATTCATAATTATAAGAAAAATAGTCGAAACCACAACCATAATCTGTTGTATATTTAGAATAATTATATTGCATTTCGTGTTTGATTGATCAAATCTTAAGATCTCGTCACTGTGTAAAATGTGGGGCTTGCATTTTAGCTTATGATCACCACAATTTTATACTTGGCAAATGTATTGGGGAGAAAAACAAATTGATATATTTAATCACCCTTATTTTCCATAGCATACAAGCTATTTTAGCCTCGCTATACCTAAATTATATACCTTTGTAAATGGGCAATATTATATACGGAGTGAAAACTGTGTCTATTCTCATTTTTTGCTACCTTACTTATTTACTTCTCTATTAAATCTATTTGATTGTAACAAATTAAACCTAGGCTGAAAACAGATTTAGACATAAGTTAAGTTACATGAAGTATGTCTAAGATGAAATTGGAATGCCTTTTAATTAAGGATTTAAGAGTAACATAAAATAGTTTTTCATGTCTACTTTTTAAAAGTAACCTTATAAATGGGCATTTGTGTAAGGAAATTCATCATGATTAATTTTATCCATAATTTATTAACTTAATAGTATTAAGAATAAAAAAGTAGCTCAGATGCATCGTATATAAAATTTAATAATTTTGATTTTGTTACTAAATATTTATATAATCATCTTCTAAATGTGCTTACTGGAAATTTTAGAGGAAAAAAGATTCTGTTGTTTTCACATTTTATTCCTTTATAGTTTTATTTATATCTAATTTCCTTCTCTATTTTTGGCAGGATAGATTTGAAATTTCGAAAATATTTTCAATTATATTAAGTATTAATAAATATCGATTTCAGTAATCAAATTTTTAGTTTAACTCTTTGTTTCAAAGACAAATATCAAATAGCATTTCATGAATTAAGTTATCATGTAAAAAATAATGAATTTTTCAATAAAATTTTACAGAATTATTGCAAAAATAAGAAGAATGAAGAAACGATATTATTACACTTTTTCTAAAATTTATTATAATGTATTAAAAAGGCAAATAACTATTTTTAAAGCAGAATTAAAATAATTAAATTAATTTTCAAGTGTAGGAATAGTATTTCTTTCTAATTAAAGGTATTGGTCTCAATAATTAGTCGTTTAAATTATAAAAATAAAAATTCTGAGTTGTGTTATTATTTCAATGTTTTACTTGGAATTGGATACGTAATTTCTAATATTGTAATTTTAATCAACTCTATGGAGTTGGTTAGATTATCAAATGATGAAATTTGATAATTAGATTAATTTATCTAATTATAAATTTAATAATGCTAAACCCTGTTTCTAATTCTCACTCTCCCACTTCAACCTAAGTAAATATTTATTGTACAATCAAGAAAGAGATAATTTTATTAGACTTCAGGCCCTTTGAAAGGAATCCTAAAAAATAAATCTCTATATGGAGATAATCAAGACAGAAATTCATTCTAAGGAGATAAAAACGTGGAAGATGAACTAATTGAATAATCATTTTTATCATAAGGATCTTTTCATGCACATAAGTAAATTGAATAATATGATAGAAATTCAAATAGTTAAGTTGGTGAGTAGAAATCAAATATAATTAAACAAACATCTAATAAATTTGGAAGATTAAACAATGTATGGAGAAACAAATCTTTAAATATTATATATTATATATCAAAATTCGCAAGATAATTGAAAACAAGTGCAAATAAAATAAAATTTAAACTATTAACAAGAAGGATTCTGGATCTCATTCGAGACTTGGGATCCGATACTGATGAATTGCTTAGGCAGCGAGATAATTAATATCATAAAAAAACGGTTTAAACTATATAATGCATCGATAAAATGTTGAATAAAATTCAATATTTGCCTATCATTGAGCCTGACTCAATTATAAAATTAACTTGGGATATCATAGTATTATTAGCAATCGTTATCAATATTGTCTATATACCTTTAGAATTGAGCTTCTCAGTTGATATGGATTAAGTGACTTAATTATGTTTAAACACTCTTCCTTCGTGGCTGTTTGTAGTAGATATTTTTGTTACATTACAAACAGCTTATTATGCAAAAGGAATTATACATAGAAATCAAATAGAAATCTTTAAGAATTACCTTAAAGGAGGAACATTAATTCTTGATATCATAATAGTAATCCCAATCTTACTTTCATCTTTAAACTTTTCTTTTTTTAAATATGCTCTACTATTGAGGATCTTTAGATTACCAAAAATAGCAGGCAATATAGAAGAGATTATCAATCCAAATCAGCAAGTTAAGGCAGTAATCTCATTAATTAAATTGATATATTTCATTTTAATAACCTGTCATTTCTGTGCCTGTATGTGGGCATTTTTAGGAGAAGCTTAATTGGAATATGGACTGCATTCATGGATTGCTCATTATCAAATTGATGATTCCGATTGGAGAATTAAATATATTTATTCTTTCTATTACTCAGCGATTACAACATTGACAATAGGTTATGGAGATATAACCCCTCAAACAATCCCTGAAAAAATCTATACTATATTTCTGGCCTTGTTGGTTTGTGGTGTACTAGGATACAGTGTGTCGACTGTTGGAGAGATAATTAAGTAACTGCAAGAGAAAAATTAAGTGTTTAAAGAAAAGATGTCATTAGTAACAAATTATGTGAAGAGTCGAAAACTTAACAAATAATTATAATTGCAAGTGAGGAAATATTTTGAGCATTATTTTAAATTAGAAGAAAAATCCTAAATCGAAGCAGAAGAATTGATGTAAAAATTGACTGTTGAGTTAAAACAGAAAGTAACATTTGATTTATATTGTTCCATACTAAAATAATCTAAAGTGCTTTAGCATTTGTGCGAGTCTTGTTTATAAAAATTATGTTTGGTGGCACATGAATAAAAATATGCACCTGAAGAGATCATTTGGAAATAAAATGAACAAGCATCCAAATTAATTTTTTTAGTTAAAGGAAAGTTGGAATTGATGGCTAATGACATAGTTTTAAAAAGTTGGAAAAAGGGAGTCATTGGAGAAAGAGAATTTGCTTCTTAGACAACTTACATAACTTATTTAAAGGCCTCTAAATTCTCTTAAGTAGTTTATATTGAATACACAGATCTTCAACAAATTTTGGGAGATCATTAAGAAGATCTTGAGAAAATCAAGATGCTACAAGACAATCTGATATTTAATGAAAATTATAAAACTTTTGGAAATGTTTGTGAAGTTTGCGAATGGACTCATTCGATTGAGAAATGTCCGTTCGTATTTATTAAAGTTAATAAAACAAAAATCATGAACAAATTTAAAGAGACCAAAGAATAAAATCGGTTATTTTCAGATAGGAATATATTTAGATATACTTCCAGGAAAAAAATTAGTGATATTTAAGAGTGTGCATTAGCAATGATAATAAATGAAAAATTTATTCATTAACTAGATATTACTGATGCTTATTTACAACAATTAGGATTTGCATTAGACGTAGATGATTAATAAAATGGCAGCGGATAATAACGATAAAATACGTAAAGAGAGTAGACTGCTCTGAATGATACTTTTACTGTTAAAAGCAATACAAATAGAGAGAATATTAGAAAATAAAGTGATAGCTTTTCTAATGATGTATTGACTTATAGTGGTTAAATGCCTCCTATTGTTCCTCATCAATCAATCCCTTCCCCTCAAATATCCTAGAAATTAAGCATAAATAAAAAAAAGGATAGTTAGTCAAATGTGAAATAACCTGATAACACCCCTATTTTAAGAAAATTAAAAAGGGAAAACTCTTAAAATATTGAAAGAAGAATTTAATTTGTTTAATCATAATTAAATGAATCGAAAGAATTAAGAAAAAATTCTAAACTTGATAGTTGGAGAAGTATTGACTAAAATCTAGGAATTACGTCTAATAAAAAAATATCCTATACAAGTTAGGCTAGTGTAAGCTTATATAAGCAAAAAAGCTTATAAAAATAAATTAGTCTAGCTGCCAGTCCTAGAAAAAAGAAGAATTCTTCAAGCGTTGCAGGCACTCTAAATTCAAGAACATCTAAAGCTCAATATGTAAATTCTAATGAAAATGAAGATATGGTCATAATTATGGAAGAGGCTGAAGAAAGAACAGTTGAATACTGTGATTTTGATCTTGATAAGTAATTCATTATGACAATTTATTTTCCAATATTTAATTATGACGGAATAATTAAAAAGATTCAACTGTAGTTTTAATAAAAGCAAATATCCATTAAAGCAAGCATGAAGAAATCAAAAACTTTATAACGACTAATGAACGATGATTGATATTTATATAACTTTTTACATTAATTATTTATCCATCTTTTTCTTAACTTAGAGTTACTTCTAAAATACATAATTAATACGTATAGATAACTGTGAATAAAAGAGAAAAAAATATTATGTTGTAAGTTTTAAATTACTCCTCTTCTTTTAGAGACATATAAACAACGATTATATTAAATTTCTTAATAAGAGAATACGGGTTAATAAATCAAATATTAACTTTGATATATTCATTAATCATTGAGATTTTGAGAAATGTTGAATTTTGCATCTGACTAGTAAAAAATTCAAATTTATCAGATAATCTTATTCTAATACTGAGAATTTTTGGATCAACTAACATTATAAAGAAAGGAGAACATTTTTCATTTATCAATGTTCTAATATTAAGAGATGAAAGGGATCGAAAATGCGTTTTAGAAAGGCCAGAAAATAATTTAAATTTTGTTCATGTTTTTTTTTCTTTGTGAATTAAATTAACTAATTACAATAATAATGATGATATGTGATTGTAATTCAATACAATGTATAAATATCAAAGCAATTATTTAAAAAATTTAATAGTTACATAGATTATGCATCATTTTTGTAAATCGGAATAACAAATATATTATTATTATTTGATTTAGAACATAAAAGTATTTCCAAAATTTGTATATTGATAGTCTCATCAATAATGCTGTACCAAGGTTAACTGAAAAACTTTTAAGGTTTTCTGATTTTTTCTGAATGTCAACTTAATTAAATTTATGGAAATGTTTAAATTATGAAAAAAAAATAAGATTCAAGCTTTAAGGTTAATATAATCATAAACTTTATTTTACAAATCTAGTCTGCTATCTCTACAGTTTCTTAGTTAAAGGTTTTGAACTTCCATCAATTTTGTCCTTTTTCACAATGTTATTTATAAAGTCAATAACCATAATTGAAGGTCTAAATTCAACTTTTTTAAGATCTTCACTAGTAATTTATCTCGAATGTCTAGGTAATGTCTTAATTTATGGACTTTGCTATATAAGTGGCAACTTAAGATCAAGCTTTGATTAATGTAATAGTTATTCTGAAGCCACGTTTTTTAAAACTTTTGATTCTCTTTTTTCTTTAGAAAAATTAACTTCCTTAGATTTTAGAACGAATTTCTCTTCAATTTATGGTAGCAGTAAAAATGTGGGGTTTTCAGGGATTACACTTAATGAATTTTGAATTTGTTATGCTTCTGTTTTGGAGACTGGATTAATATTAGCTTCTGTTTTCACTGAAGATGTTTAGAGCATGGACGATAAATCGAATTCATTTAAAAATAAGGAAGGCCTTAATGATCTTGAGATTATTTTTTCTGATTTTCTTCTACCAGTTAGAATCATCATTAATATGTATTAAATATTTTTATATTATTTTTGAGCTGAGAATCTTATGCTTAGAACTTGATTGAATATTGAATTTTTGTTTATCAACAAGATTAAAAATATATAGTTCAGACATGATGAATTAATTGAGCAGTTTTTTTAATTAAAAATAACAATAATATTTTGAAGAATTTTATTAAATTATTGGTCAATTATAATTCACTATGGATCAGGTTTTGGCCATAAAGTATAGTTTTCTATCATTTTTGTCACTAAATTTGAGTCCAATTACAATTACTCCTCAAATCTAAATTGATTACCGGAAAAAACTTATAATTTTTCTTTTGAAATCAAAAGCAACATTAACCTAGTTCTTTTTTAATGAGTAATTTCACTAGATTAAGTTCTAAAATATAATCTTGTTAAACTCTTGTAATCTTTATTTTCGTTGTCAAATATTTCTTTCATTTTATAATATAAATGAATAGTTGCATCATTTTTTGTTTTATGAATGTTACTCTGAAAACTGATACATGCAAGCATCTCATTTGGTCCAAAATATAAACTCAATAATTTTTTAGTTTGCCCTCTATATAATTGATATTTCAATTTAGGTTGCTCTTATGGTGATAGACTAAAAATATATATTCTTTAATTGTCAACTAATGGAGAAACTGCAAGCAAGAAACTATCACTTGATAAAGCAATGCAAGCTTATATATATGAAACACTATTATAAAATCTAAATTAGGAAGTAGTTTATTGCTTGGCTAGAGATGAATGTTAATATTCAATGATTTGTTCATCTGACATTGCAGTCATTGTTTTGATATTGATACCTTATAAGGCTTAATAGTGTAAAAAATCTATGATTAAAGAATTCCCTTATTAATTTAAATAGGTTAACACGCAATTAAATTGATTATTATTATTTGCATAAATTATCTCTCCATTTAAGCTTTATGTATATAAATATCGATAGGCTTAATCAGTTCTCACATTTAATACTAAAATAACATTTTCATTTTATTATTTAATTCCTGCAATTATAAATGGATTACAAAATGATATCTATTATGGAGCTTAAATGACAGGAAACTTCTTAATAACTTAGCGTTAATATTCGTCCCAAATAACAATAGTTTAATCTAAACTAATAACAAATTCAATTCCTGAAATATCAAAGAAGTCAATAGAATAAATTTTTCCTAATTTAAGATTTTCTTAATTGATTTTGATTTTATCATCTTGTATATCATACAATTTAAATCCTTCTTCGGTGGCAAGTAAGATGTAATTTAAATCCTAATATCAGAAATTAAAATACAGAGGAAAATTTCATATCTATAATTTGTGATTCAGGCCCATTAATGAAAATTAATTCTGCTTCTATTGGTTAGTTTCCTTCATAAACGCTTTCATGAACAAGAGAAGACATTTTATTCTAATTAATATTAATAAATGTTCATCTAAAAAATAATCATATATTAAATTCGAATGTATATGTGTTCAATACCAACCTTATTTGATTTATGAAATATCGTAAGTTTTGAAATAAGAGAATAGGGTATACCTTCAAAATTCATTATTTTGTTTTATACGCTATTAGAAACAATAGTTTAACTAAGCTGATTTCATCGTCTCATTATAAATATATAACAAGTACAAATTTATGAATTCACCCATATCCAAATGATTTAGCATTAATTCTAATTATTGTTAAGAATTAGTATATTCACAGAATTGGAAATTAATTAACTTTAGAGTTTGTTAAAAGATGCATAGGATTTTTTTCTTAAGAAGATCCAATTTGTGATGTATATGAAAAAGTCAAAAATTTTTCTTTATTGATCATCTTGTAACATCAAAAATTATTCAACTTGCTCATTATACTTCTTAACATCATCCTACTACAAAAATAATTAAAAAAAAACTATTTTTGCAATTTTTTCATATAGAATTAATTGTCCTTTGTCTGATAAATTTTTTTTAAAATTAAATAATATAAGCATATGAGTTTTACAGAAAATTCACAACTATGTTATGAGTTAGGATACTCATTCAAATCAAAGGATTATTCTCGCGCGTTAGCTCTTAACAAAGATAATTCAATCCTTATAGTTGGATCAGAAAGCTTAATTACAATATATTAATTTAAAAAAGGAGTTATTAAAGAGATTGGAAGAGTTCGAAAGCATTTGAACTCAATAAATGTCCTAAATTTTTTTCGTAATCAAAATTGCTTTTTATCAGGCTGTAGCAATTCGAATATCTACTATTGGTCCAATATTTAATGTTCATCAAAAAAATTTATTCAGAAACTGTACCAGCATTCTGAATGTATTAATTGCATAATATTAAATTATCCTTTTGAAGATCTCATTATCTCTTGTAGTGATGATTAGAAGATTAAATTTTGGGAGCGGTCAATCTCTAATTCTTGGGTTTGTAAATAAACTATATAAGAGCATACTACCTCTGTTAATACATTATCAATTAATCATGAAGGAAATACGGTAATTTCTTGTGGAGATGATTTTCAAATCCTAGTTATTGAATATCTTCCTTCTCAAAAAAGATGGTAGGTTTAATAGAAAATCTAAGTTGAAAAAGAGAGTTATAGAATAACATTTATTAATAATAATCTCTTCATACTTTAGCCATTGCAAGAATCTTCTTTATTTATTTATGAAAGAAATAATAAGGGAATAAAATCAGAATTTAAGAAAACCAACTAGATTTCTGTGAGAGGAGCTTAATAAATATGTAAACCTTTTTTCCCTTCAGTTTATAATCCTAAAAAAAATCTTCTTATTTGTAAGAATGGTTATTGCTTGAATATACTGAGTTTAAATTAAATTAACTAACAAGTACAACAATTTAAACTAGAATAAGTGATAGATTGTGGAACATAAAGTTATGGACGTATTTTTGGAACTGTAAGTGATGATGGGGAATTTATAGTTATTTGGAGTTATGCATAAAAAGAGATTCAAGTTTGGGCTTGCACAAATAAAGAGTGACCTTAAATTGAAAATTTATCTTTAACTAAATTAAGTTTTATTACTTCCTAAAAGCATCCTGGTTCAGATTTTATAATTAATATAATTTATTTGATTTCAACAAAATTTATGTGTTTCAAAAAAAAATGATGACTTTGAAATAATTCAAATCCAAAAAACCATATGATTTTCAATTACCATATTTTAATTTAGCAACCACTACTATATTAGACTTAAAAGGCTTGACCAATATATTTATTTATTTAGCAAGTATTCAAAGATATATTAAAATATTTAGAAATTTTTATTTTCCCATAAAAGTGTCTGATATACCATCTATAGTAATAGCTTTATCCTTTGACATGAGTTTTTGAAGCTTTTGAATCTCTTCATATTTTCTAGGGGGCAAAATAAGTTAGGGTAAAAGGCTGAAATGCACTTCTCTGCGAAATTCAGTCTAATTATTTTAGTACATTTTATTCAGTAATTGGGTGAGTATGTAGATTACATTGATCATGCTTGAAGCATCTAGAGATGCCAACTTCCTTTTTTGAAGAATGATGAGTTGCCATTCTTTTTGTATTTTGGAAGGCCTACATGGAGTTTGGTTGATTAAAAAATGTAAGCAATTTCATAATTCAATCGTTCATTTTCCTTTAGCTCGAAGAGGTAATCTTTTTAATTACTTGTCGCTTTCTTAGATTATATCTTACCTAGTTGTAACATGTTTAAAATCATTACATTTTAATGCTGCTTCTTAATTAAGGTTATAAGCATTCATCATACTCCAGCTAATCCTATGTTCCTTCTGATTTTAAACTCCTAATAGATTTAGTTGACAGCTAATTCTTGCATGATCTGAGAGTTTAGTAAACAGGAAATTTTTCTCACTACATGCTTGTCCTGAGTAACAAATGGAGTCTAACAGATATTACACTACCTTTCCTTAGATTTTTCCAGTAAATTTTAGGGCTGTCATTCCAAAATGTTAGTCAATTAGTCAAAAAGTACTTAATTATTATTAAAATCTCCACATATGATGATTCTTTAATATAACTTATTATTGAATATTGGATCTAATACCCATTGATTGAAAAATTCTTATTCTTATTAAATATTTATTTGTTAGGGAAGTAGAAATTTAGAATGATCAACTCTAAGCAGCCGTTCCTATAATTTATAGCAATATAGTCATAATCTGTTAGATTAGGAGGTATAACCTTGTCCGAGTCAAGTCAAAAAATGAGTGTATCATATAAGCCTACTTTTACTTGAACATTAAGTAAAAGAACAATAATTTTTGGAAGCGTAAGAACAATATCCAAAAATCAACAATTAATTTAGGAGGCAGCTACAGTTTTAAATTAATCATAGCAAATAAAACTAAGTAAAAAGTATCTGACTGTTACCGGAAATTTTAATATTGTTTGAAGAATTCTTATTTTCAACACAAATTTAATTTTAAAGCAATTATCATAAGGATATGATTGCTTTTTAACAGAATAAGAGTAGCTTTAAGAGAACTTTAAATTATTAAACAGCCTCATTAGAGGTAGACAAGGAAATGAGTTATATGGCTTTGGTATATGAAGATCAAACTAAGAAAGTTTTACGGAGGAGAATGCTATAATTTTCACTAGATCCAAGCTACTACACATTCCAATTAGATGAAAATGTGAGCTAATTATTATCACAGGGAGTTTAACTATTTAAAGTTTAGGATATACATGTTTGTATGTTTTAAAATATTTTTTGTATCTACATTAAACATAGATCATTACTATTACATTGAATTAGCTATAGTATTAAGACTAAAGTAAAATTCATCATAACAAATTAGCAGCATTAGCTGAAAATTTGTTATGATAATTGAAATTTTACGAGCTTTTAATAGATTATTATCATAATAAGCCTCTGTATTAAACATGTTAAGAGAAGAAGCTTCTTTTCTACTTATATTGAGGATTGCTAGATTAAAGGAGTAAGGATCAATACTAGTTATACTTGTGCTTGAATTATAACAGAGAAGGCAATTGATGCAGAATACGAACAACAGTTCTAAATCCACTTTAACATAGTACTGAAGTACCATTTAATTTAATTAGAAGTAGTGATAAACTAAATGAGTCGATAAAATAATATAACAAGTATAAAGAGGTAGATACGAAGGTATTATTTAATTCCACCGTCATCCTTTTTTGTATGAACATAAGGGAGTAAGAAAAAAAGAAAGCATCAATTGCAGTATGTTGAAGTTTACAGAGAAGCTGCAACGATATTTTAACTTTAAATTCCCTAATTCAAATATTTACTTTACTTATTTTATACATTATTCGTTAAATCTTAAGTACATTGTTTGCTTCATAATCATAACTTACTTAAGATAAATCAAAAGGATTTGGTTATTCAAAGAATCAAATTTAACTGCTTTTTGAGCAAATGTGATAGATTACAATTTTAAAGCATTAAAAATTGTCATAATTTGAAAAAAGCTTACTATGGAATAAAAGACTATCGAGTCTCAAGTTTAATTTAGCTAATACCAAATTTAAAAATAATAGTCTATTGAGTCCTAAGTATAATTTATGGAATATCAATTTTAAAACATATTAATTAAAAATTACATAGGACTGATGTATACCTATGCATTATTATCAAGTGATAAAAATAGATACATTTGAAATAAGTTAATTAGCAAACCTAATGGATTTTAACCCGATCCTATGTTGTTTTCTATGTTGTCGAAAATTAAATTAATGGAATTTAATAGCAATGATTTTCTCAATAAATTGTATAAAGACATCAACGATAATAAGTCCCAGAAACTCAGCTCCAAATAATATGCAGTATTCTAAAATTTAAATTATTAAAGTCTATTCAAATCCAATAGATTTTTCAAGTACTTGTTCTTAAATTTTACTTGACTACAAACTAAAATTAAGCCTTCCGAGAAGATCCTAAAATTAGCACTTCGCTATAGAATAGTAAATAAATTTAGAGCCGAAATTTGCGTATTGAAGTAGCATAAATGAATGTATGAATAAATCTCAAACTATCATGCTTGCCCTAAAAGTCACTGAGATATCCAAATTTACTTGCTCTTAAATAACTAGGGACTAATGAAGAAATTTCACATGTATTTAATACTTTTCATTCCAGGATATTCTCAAACTTTTATGGTTATCTTAACAAATAATACTAGGCTATTTATTTCGATGTCTTAAAATATTTTGGCATAGCAAAACTTTACATTCACTGCACATATATATTAAGGTACCTTAATATTGTTATGTTTTGATGCATTCCTACTTTACTTTTTTCAATATGTGATATCTGAAATATTAAAGTGGTTATTTTTGGACTATTAATTAAATTCTATTTTCTAAATTAAGTCAAAATATTGACAAATACACATACAAAATTTTTCTAATCTTTAGCTCTATAGGATAATAATTAACTTGACTGGTATCATTGATATATATTTAATGATAATGGTTAGATTGGATGACATCTCTTTATGATGTCGAAAATACTATAACCTTTGATCCATTTTGTGGATTTTATTTACATTGAGTGTCACCTTCTTTTTGGAGTAAATGATAAATTATTGGATCGTTAACTTCTATCCATCATCCATATAATGTTCAGAATCTTAGTTACCCTATACAGCTTTGAAAAATTGTAAACCTTACATTATGCTTAATAGGATGCATGTTTCATGAGATATTGGTTACCCGCTCTTTATTTTTGTGTAGTCCATACTATGTATAAGCAGATGACTTCTATACAGCACTAGCACTTTCTAAATGCATTTAATTAGTAACAAGTTCAAAAATGATTCTACTTTAGTATGACGGTAGTTTTTTGTGATTACTTTATGCTGCAACTAAAGTAGTATTCCAGAATTCAATATTATCCTTCGTTACCAACATTAAATAACTTGTATTGAATATTCTGGAATCTATATAACTTAAATTGCTGATAACGCTTACACATTATGTGTACATGTATTAAGTTTAATGGACTAACTAGTCTTTGTTCTACCTGTGATTTACACACATGTGATCTTACGAGTAGTACTTAAACTTGGCTATCTTGTCTTGAACTATTTAAATTAATTATCAGATTCAAGAGTAGCTACCTGATGCCTACCGCATGTACCTGCAGATGGGTGCAGTGGAAATTATGATGAAAACTCTAAGAATGAGATAAAGCAATAGAGAAGTTTATAATCCTTTCAATGACCTGTACTTAATATTCTGCTTTTAAGGTATGTTCGGGAAACCCAATTATAAAAACATTAGAAGTAGCAAATTTAATAACTCCTTATGAATGCGCAGATGGATAAGGTGCAAATAGTGTGGAAGACTGTAATATTGATCTGAAACAAATAAGCATTGTAGGATTGTTCTATTTAGCAACGAAAATATACTACTCTTTGTGAATCATGGGTTGATGGCTATAATTTAAGAATTGTTTCATCAACTTGTGATCCATTGCCTCATTGATGTTATTATACTAGATCGCATCTTCTTTGTCTTTACCTAGGGGTTATTACACGGAGCATCAGCTGCAAGAAGTCAAAATAGTGTGATATAGGTAATTGTTTATTTATGTATAAAGGATTTTAATTTAAAAGGAAAATGGCTGCTAATATGTTTATGTCTTAAATCTGGACAACTAATGTAACTTCTTAGATACATGATTGATATGATTATTTCTTCAAACATTGTTGTTATTCCACTACAAATACTGACTCTTGTTCTATTGGACGCCAATCATATTCTTGTGATAATTCTATTACAATAATATGTGTGTAAATATGTCACTGTCATTTATCCAGCTAGCTTTAAAACAACTAAACGATAAAAACTTTTATTAACTTCTTTCATTGAGAAATATAGTCCCTTAATTTACCATTGAATTAAAGATTTGTCTCATCATAGCAATATCATCTCCAAAAAGTTCTTATATTTGCTATTTTATCCATTTGATTATTATCAAACTAGTTTAGACAAGAAATCCATCAGACTTTGTTGTAGAATCAGCAGTTTTTAATAAGATATTGGAATCCTTTTTTGTGGTGTTTGCCATTCTCAAATTCATTGATGAAATAAAAGGTATAGGATACAACTTTCATCAAATAGGAATTGAAGAAAACATTAATACGATTCAGCTTAATTGAAATCGTAACTTCATCTTAAGTAATTCCTATTATAGGAACTCCAAAATGATCATCAGATAGATGTTAAATTCCAGTTAAGAATGGCATACATAGCGTTTTCTCGAATGTCCAGTAGATATAATGTTACTTGTTAGTATCTTACTTCACCATGAAGTAAATAGGATGATCAAAACATCTGTACAACTTGCTTGGAGACTCTTTTAAGTCTAATAGTGGTAGGTAGTACTAAAGCTCCTCTCTTTGTCTCATTAATATCGTACAACTCTTGTAATCATGTTAGATTCCATGCACTACTTGTGTTATCACATCTAATGCATCTAGTCTCTTTTAACTGCTTTATTATAATTAATTCTATGCATTTAAAATGAGATACAAAAGATGCTACTTCAAATGTAATAAATGCTTGCTGACAAAAAAATATGAAATCCTAATAGAGCTGAACATGATCTTAACTACACTGATACTAACTCATGCCCACTTATTGATGCTTTCTAATTAATAATACTTGTGAATAATCTAATCATTGGTCTCCAGCAGTTTGATATTTTTACATTTTTCTTAGATGAATTCTCCCACCAGTACTAATATCCCTTTTAGGATTTACCTTGCGTTACATTTCATAGTGATATTAATGAGGATATGGGATACTAATATGATGCACCAGCTATTTTTTTGTAATGTGCTTCTGGATCCATTTCAATACTCCTTCAAAACCATATCCTAAATATTAAACTCTTCTCTTACATTTTTGATCCTGAATTCAAACATTTTATGCCATAATGGTTTTAAGTTTCTGTTTTAAACCTTATATACTTAAAGTGATGACGGATTCCAACTTAGATTATTTAAATGTTACTTTTGTTTATAGCTCATGTAATACACAACAACAATCATGATAAGCTACTGGTCACTTTATCATAATTTTAGGATTGCATTTAGCAAATATATTCATCCAATATGTAGAGCCTCAACTCCTTATCACAACAAAATATGAGAAATAACTTGTTTCATCACTGATTTTCGAATCTTTATAATCCTGACCTCATTATAATTGATAAATGATTGTAGATGGAACATTGCAGGCTATGATGAGTACTAACTACAAAAAATGACATCTATAATTAGCTTTACCATCTCAAAATAGATGTATAATACTGAAATAAATTCAATTTACTAGGACTAGCGTTACTGAAATTATAATAAATTTACTCTGCTCATCATAGAAATCAGGTTTAGTGACAATCCCTTACATGTATGATGGGTAGTTTTTCTTGATCGCAACATGTATGATTTGAGTTAGAAATTACTCTGATACAATTAATGAAATATATCAAACCAAAGTGACGTGAGTATCTTCCTAAGTTTTGGACTCATTAAACTTGTTAATATTGTAGCATAAAGTAAGTAAAGAACATTTAGAGTATAACCATCAATTTATGTGATAAAATTGAATGAGCCAAATATCTAATAATCTTCACTATTATGCTATTAATTAAACTTGTAAAAATAGTAGTAGCACCATTTAACCATGCTCTGGTCGTTTCGAAGTCAAATACTGCTGTGCAACTGTTATAATAGACTCTTTATTTGTAATTATAACAAATTTGTATATCCAAAATAATTGGCTATAGGATTCTGAGATTATGTCAAGTATGGGTTTTGTTTACCAGTTCGGTCTAGTTCGAGACTTGCGGATTCTGTTTTCTTCCTTTGATCCACCTATTACTTTGTTAAAGTGAGAAAATTTTTTCGCAATCCTAGCTCAGTTTAGATGTTTCAATTATGCAAATACAATTGAAGAGATATAGCTAAAATTTGAGTAAATTTGATCAAAAGAAATGAGACTGAGTAAATAATATTGCATAATATTAATTTTTATTTTCAAATGTCCAAAAAAAAGATACAATTTGAGACACAGGTTAAACCTCTGCTCTTATACAGAAGGATGCTTCCCTGTTGGCTCGAAAAGAAAGAGAAAACATATAGGAAAAGGAATTTGAAAGGAGGAATCATGAAAGAGTGTGAAATAAGAACAGATGTCGACAACAACAACTGGGCTAAATACAAAATAATGGGAGCACCATTAGTAAACAAGTGAGAATGACTTTTTAAAAAATTTCAATTAAAGAATTTTGGTTGGTCGGAAACTACAAAATAATCCAACCGGAAGGTTTTATCAATCACTTTAAAGAATAATAACTAAAAACAAACTCATCATATAAAAGTGAGACTTTTTCCCAATAGCATGACAATAATTATTAATATATAGATAAAAAGCAGAAAAGCCCATATTTTAATCAAATATACGAACACACTTCATCATATATGTCTACATAGAAACCATATCATAACTCACAATTCAGATTATTTAAAAACCTGCTTTCAAAAATAGTAGTAGACAATCAGTTGATGCAATTAATCTTTAACCTATAGACATATATGCAACTGAATAATAATAACACCTATTTAAATAAGATTTACATTTAAAAAAAAACAGGATTAAGAAGTTTAAGAGCTAAATAAATGCTATAAAAATATCAAATTAATTTAAATCTAATAATATTAGTCTAAAGCATTACTATTAATTACATTATTTCAATTTGCATATTATTAAATATATTTGTGTGTATAAAATATTGATACAAGTATAGTTACATCCTTATATATTCATGTCTTAAAAGTTGTGTATTGTTTTTGGTTAGCATTATTTTGACGCTTATATCTTGGCCTTAGAATTTTTTTTAGAGGAAGCCTGCCATTTTTTATATTGTGTTGGATTAATTACTGCCATAAAGTTCAACTATACACGCTAAGTAGTTCTACTTAATTTTACTGATGTGTAATCCCTTACTAACCAAGATAATTTATACGTTTAACTGCAGAGGGATTCAGTGTAAATAGTAAATGATTTCTCCCACCAGGAAAAATGAATAAACTTGTTATAAGAAGTGCACTAGAAGACAATCGTTGTACTAACTGATTAAATGGAACAAAGTTTTCTTTACCTTGCGATCCATCTTGCATATAGATTGAATCGCTCTCACGATAAACCTCATAATATTGTCACTGATGCAAATGGTTGTTCACCACGTTTAGTGGTTTCAGCTCGAACTTCTATGACATTTGTTAAATAAACTACTCTCTGCTTAACTTATTATTACAGCAAATTGTATAGTTTGTGAAGATTTTCATGATACTTTCCTTAATTTTGCTGCTTGTACTTCATGTTTGACTAGGTAGAGTCTTAAGTAACGTCCCAAAATTTATTATTATCAAATAGAACATTTTTAGCTTGCACCTATCCTTATCGTTCTTGTAGCAATTATTGCCAAACAATAGTTGCCTTATATTAACAGCCGTGCATATATTTAGTTCCTAAGGTAGGATTACTTTATTGATCTTAAAATTAGTGCTTATATTACATTCCTGGATTTTATTCAAATCATTCTCAACTCTTAAGTGGGTCTTGTATAAATGGATGCAACTTTTATAAAGGAATTAAGGGTCAGTCTCATGTAAATCATCTCCTACCAATGAAAATCAAAGCCCTATATATCTTCATTGTTACTATTTTTAAAATAGTTATGCATGGCTAAATAATGTATAATTGTTAGTTTTGTGTGAGGATTTCTGTGCACCTGAATAATGTTCTGACTTTAGCAATGCTTGCAAACTATTTGTAAAAAGCTTGAAACGTTGGAACTCATCAAATGAATATTCTAATTTTTATGATGGTTATTTTTTGGGGTCAATAAAGTTTACAAAATCAACTTATCAATGAAACTCATGATTTCAATTTCAGCCCTTGTGCTGTTTGTAGTTTTAAACTTCTACAACTTGAACTTTATGTATCCCAAAATACTTGTGATTAATACAATAGTAATTGCTCTTCTACTATTCTTATTAGAATTTAAACCTGAAAATCTTGGAACCCAAATTAATTACAAGATCCAGGAGTAACTCTCTGATACCCACCCTAGGCATTTGCGGAATGACGCTATACAAATTGTGATTAAAACTTTAATGCTGAAGTAAAACAGAAAATTATTTTATGATGGCTACCTTCAGACACCTTTAATACTTGAAACTCTTTATGTGAGTAGTAGCTAGCTCGAACCGCAATCATCTGCATTACTGAAGGTCAGCAATCTTATTAATTTTTGTGGTATTCCTGCATAAAATTAAAAGGACCACCTGTTGCTTCATGCACATTATTAAAAGTTCAACTTATTGTAAATATCATGTCATGTTTTTTATGCTAATCGCAATAATTCATTTGCTTCATGTTTAATAGGTTAATGGACGCAACTATCTTTATTCGTACTTGCTAATGTTGGATTTCCAATCTTAGCCTAGCTACAGTATCAAACCTCACATGGTTCTTATTTTTATTTAAGAAATTATAAACAGATACATCCTGAGTGCTTGGTCTGTTCTAATATAATCTTATCTGTGCACTTTAAGAGGTAATTTGTAACTTGTGCAAAACTAGTAGTGATTGTATTTGCTTATCATGGAGTAGTGATACATAAATCTAATTTTGCAACTCTTGTACAATTTTAGCTGCTGTTAACCATGATTATTAGTCAACTCTAAACATTCTAATGTGCAACCATTTCTCTAATTCTTATGTAATCTCGAATTTTTGAGGCCTACTAAAAAGTAAAAAGAAGCTGATATGATATAGAACCTCTGAGGTATATATATATGTGTGTGATGTTGAATAATAAATCATTTTGGCCACCCCTTTGGTAAATCCAGGGCCAAACCGGAAGGACAGGAGTGTTTAAAAATCTCTAGAGCACTAAAGTTGATTTCGCACATGGGACAGGTCATTATATCATCTAAGCTAATTCTTACCATCCTTTCCCATGTCTCATTAGTTAAGCAGCTATAAAATTTTACCATTATCTGGTGCCATACTATCTTCCAATTCTCTTCAACGATTTAGAACCAGAACAATTTTCCCTTAGATTCCACTTCCAATCTTGCTACCACAATCGATGGTTCCATTTAACCTTTGAAAAACACCTACACTTCAGACCCCTCGAACAACCAATCTATACTAGAGGGCAGTCCTCTGACTAGATCGCTGATACTCTGGAAATTGTTCTCCTATACCTCTACCATCTTCTATTTATTTATCATATTTTCTATAATTTTTCTGAACAATTTTAATCTGTTTGCCTTATATTCCTCTTCTGAGCATCTCCTCGATTTCTCCAAAAATTACCAATTTAGTTTAATGAATAGCTTTAGGTAATTGTTACAGCCAAATTCCTCGACAAAGGTAGTCAGCCCTTGCGGAAATATCTCCTTGGGGATTAAGTCCACCTCTTTAGCTCCCTGCTTTCTTAAGTTAAGATTAACACGGTTGAAAACATTCTCAATTCCTCTTATTTCAGCCGTCTCCTTCTCCACAACACTGCGTTGTCTCACTACAATCCCATTTGGGTTTGGGTTTGGGTTTGGGTTTGGGTTTGGGTTTGGGTTTGGG